ATGCTACCTAACCAATCGTAAAAGTACAGCCTTAGCATTAAGGCAGTGTCAAAGAAAGTTTCCGGGGGCTAAAATACCAACTAAAGCATATTTAATAGAGTTATCCAGGACCTGTCAAATCACAGTGTTCTGAAATATAAAAAAGGGAATAATAGAGCACCTTTTTATCAGGAGAAACTGAATTGAATGTAATATTATACTTCACTGAATTTCCCGAAAATTCTTTGCGAAATGCAACGGGACCTTGACTTAGCTATTTCAGATGTACAACGTATTTTAAAATGCAACAAAATAAAAGCTTATAAATTTCTACCAATTCAATTTTTATTTCACCGTGATGCATGGTCATGATGGATGAACATTTTGAGAGGGACATTTTTAACAAAACATTGTGGCCCAATGAGGCGATTTTTAAGACGTCGGGCATGCACAATAAAAATTTTGCCACTTATTCAATAGAGAATAAATTTTAATGAAAAAAAATAAAAAAATAAGCAGGGCCATAGGAGTGTTAAAGTGTGCGGTATTATAAGGGATAGAATTGTTGGCCCCATTTTTTTGAAAATTATTTAAAAGAACAGATTTTTTTAATTTTGTTTCAAAATACAATAATGCCAGAAGTAAACAATCTGCCAGAAAACTTGTGAGAGAACATTATATTTCAGTAAGATAGCGCACCCTATCATTGTATTCATCAAGTGACAAATTTTTTAAGAGTAAATTCCCAAAATATAATTGGTAAAAATGGTGGCCACCGCGAAGTCCCGATTTTTCACCCATGGAGTTTTTTTTTGTTTTTGTGTATATAAATCAGGGAATAACTATACAGTTGATGACCTTGAGGAAAAAATTAGACAAGGGATTCTTGCATTAAATAATAGTGATGCGGGTAGATATGCGGTCTCCAGCATTACGACGCGCTATACAATGTGTATTGTAGAGGATGGACAATATATTGAAAATATATTACAGTATCACCATATTTAAGTTATTTTTTAGTTAATCGTTTATTTTTTCGTTTTATAGATTTAATTATTCAAATTTGTTACCTTGTTTAGCTATAAACTTTAATTATTTATTTTTTTTATCAGTTATTTTCAATCAAGCTAGATAATTAAGTTAAAGTTAAGTTAAATGTTTCTTTAAATATGACTTCTGAAGTTTTATTAAATCTGTTAAAGTGTGTAGTATAGAGTTGATATTTTTTTTTAATTTGCGCGTATTAATGGACACCCTATATTGTTAGCAATATGTTTTATTCGTATATCTGGAGCATTATATTTTTAAAACAAATAGTCTCATGTCTTTGCTATTTAAAAAATACCTAATATTGCCAACAAGTGACATAATCTTGGGCAGCTTTAAATTCAACATGAATTTATACGGGTGTTTTTTATGCCTCGAAAATTTCAAAAGGTAAGTAAAATTTAAATGTAAGATAAATTACAAATTTGCCTTGTTTTTTGTCCTAGAATTGATATCTAAGTAAAAATATAGTGGGTTCAATTTGAAAATGTTGCGATTTTGTTCATTGAGTTCGCCAAAACGGCACCACCTATTTGGGACACCCTGTATAAGCTTAGGCACATCTGTCTGTGGATAAATTTTTGCCTAAACTATGCAAAAATTCGAATAGGAATTTCTTAAGAAAGTGACCTTTATTTTAAACAAGGATTCCAAAAAAACAAGGTGAATGTCGGGGACTACACTTTTGGGACACCCTGTATCAACAAAATTATAATATTTTAAATCTTCAGCAGGGTCCAAGAAACTTGTACAATACTTTTTTCGATGGTATAGTGGATCGTTTCATTTGGCACACGGTGTCACACCCTCTACGTTCCTCGAGGTTAGGTCTAATACCGAACCCCGATTCTCACCTGTTCGGGAACTTACATGTGATGTACACTAATTTGAAGTTTAGTATTTTACCAGTTTTGACATTATTGCAATTTATGTGTGCACCTTTTGTAGTGATTAATATTTGCCATCCCATTTATCGAACGAATCTTATTTTTATTTATAGTATCACCTATAGCTAATAAGTTACGGCACACTCCGTAAATTTGCCTGCGGTAGCACTGCGATTGCGACTAGCAAATTTGATTCTGGAAGTAAACAAATGTCTCTAAAACTGAGGAACCTACTCGTAATCAAAGCATCTTGTTTCTTCTATAATAGGCACTGCCTGTTTCACTTCAACGGCATTTTTATCAGAAGTTGTCGTTCCATCTTTTTCGTGGGCGTCCTATACTCCTCCGACCGGCAGACGATTTATCTCTTTACCTCTCACTATCCATTGTTCAGACATTCTATCTAAATGTTGAATCCATTCTTGCTTTCTATTGCTTGTCCAGGTGTTAATGTTTTCAATTCCACATATGTGTCTTTTGTTTTCATTTGTTTCTCGATCCCAGAGTGTTTTCCCTGCTATTTTCCTTAATGTTTTCATTTCATTTGTTTCCAGGCATTTCTGAGTCTTAGATATTTCCGGCCTTGTTTCAGCGGGATTTTGTTTCGATTCTTAAATTCTTCCATTCTTCCATATCGTGTCGTTTAGGCATCATATGATAATCTAATTCGTAAATATTTGATGTCCATTTCCTGCTCAATAATTTGGTTATCAAGTTCCAGTTACATGTAATCGATTCTTTAAAAATTACTTGTGATTTAGTTTTTATGGCCGAAATTTTCATGTTAAATTTCTTTGCAGATATATTAAACTGCTTTAGTAATCTCTGCAAATCATCTTCATTCTCAGCTACCAATACAATATCCTCAACGTAACACAACACTTGTATTTCTTTATTGCCTATTTTATAGACTTTTTTGTTTTTACTTCTCTAATTATTTCGTCTAATGTAATGTCAAATAATAAGCGGATTAGTGAGTCTCCTTGCCTAATACCCGTAGTTATATCTGTTGGCTCAGTTAGCTCTGAATTTACTCTTGCTTCTGTTTTATTTCTTTTGTATATATTTTCGATAAGTTTTATTATATCAAATGAGATATTTCTGTCATATATCACGTCTTCATCTAGCATCTAGTCAATTGAATATTTCTGGCAAGCGCACAACCTGAATTAAATGAGTGCTACAACGACCTTTCGGCAAACACCTTGACTTTGAACATCATAAATATCGGAAAATTTCTGATAACGCCGTGCTTGGTTGCATTAATTCATGATTTTCGTCGATCCATCAGCATAGATTAGCCGCCCAACTTCGCCGGATTTTTGGCAGGCGTCACCTGCATAACATGCCTGCAATTTTTTATCAGCCGCGCTACATTAATATATTTCGAGTAATTAACGACTGCGAAATTTTGCTGAGCAAAAATACGTTCAAAACAAATTACCGGGCCAGCCCCAATCGCCATTTATAATTAACGAAAATCGGCTCGATCATTGGCGGATAAAACGCGACGAACGCACGACTTATATACCTTTGTTTAAATAAAAGTGAATTAAAAATCGGCAAATGATGGATCGAATCAAACCAAAATATCGGTAATGGAAAGAAAAAAGGCGTCGATATCCCAAAGAAAATAAATATGGTTGTCAATGAGTAAAAATGCGTTATAGAAAGTGAGTTAATGTTTACATCACTGTTCGTATATATTTTAATTATCGAAAAAAAATATAGCATTCGAACAATGGCGTAGGGATAGAAGTTGATACCATCATTGTATTATTTTAATAAAAAAAAATAGGTACACTAACTACACTGGCTACACTCACTTGAATAAATAGAAAAAAGGAGCAGCAAACATATTACATTTCGCCAGAAAAAAACAAACTGATTCCCAAATATAGGAATAAAGAACTAGCTATCTTGTTTTTGCCAAAGGAGGCATAAAGTAATAACTACATGAAATGAAAATTGTTAGGATTGGTACCACAAGTAAAGAAAAAACATTAAATGGTCATCATTTGTTAAGCCTACAAAATCGTTGTAATAAAAATTTAAAATCTACAGTACCTACATAATTACCTAAAAAATATTGACAAAAAAAGGACTGTTATACATTCTTAACACGAGTCGAGTCATAAGTAAATATTCGGTTAGAAGCGACACAGCCGCTCAAATCTAAAAAATTGAGAAAAATTCATTCTGTATAAGGGGCCACAGCTGCGACATTCAAAAGAAGGAAAACGAAAATGGTTTTTATTTTGTTACTATATAAATCGACATATTCATAAGACAGTTTCCTATTTTAATTAATTATAATATTCCAGTACTTGAGACAGTGGATGAACTTTTTGTAATATTATTTACGCCCTAAAAAATCTTATCAATCGTAGCATTGAAAACATAAACTTCTCGATAATAATATTTATGTATATATTCCCTCCTCTTTTAGAGAGTTAGATTAAAAACAACCTAGGAGTTTCCTTCATTTTGGACAGTTAGTGCTCTTGACAGTTATACTTCTATGATGTAGTTTATCATAAAAGTTCTTATCTTACTATAGCATTCGCAATTATTATGATTAACTGCTTACGAAAATAGAAGTAATCGTAATTTCAGTACTCATAACGCCTTTAAAGTACATTTAATTTATGTTCGATAATCATTCCAGTCTCTAATTAGTTACATTTTTTAGACTTTCTTGCTGACGTCTGTGTTATTGCTAGATAAGACTCTGTCTCGATAATTTTTAAGGTAATATTATATGTATTACAACTGATGAGTGAATTGTTAAAGTTGACGGTATCTTTGGGGGCGGTCATATTATTTACGGTACTTAAACACCGGTGAAGTGGATCGTCTAGACAAAACTATTCGCACGTTTTAATAATAAGTAATTGCGAGCAAGGGAAACAGCAATGTCGAAATTCCTGCACAATAATCCATGCCACGTCCCCTTTGAAATACCGCGGGGAATGTCACTGCCAATATTTTTTTTTTCGAAATGCTAGAACACAAGACCTTCGTTGTAATTTTGGCTTAGTATAAAAGCGAAACGTCGTATTTTGTAACACAGTAGTAATTCTTTTGTATCGGATTGGGAAATCGCGGGCCCTTTCGTCCCTTGTATTATGCGAAGCGCGCGAAAAAGGTTACGAACCAATTGATGACGTCGCGAAGGGGTAGTGTGGTGGATGTTCAGTTACTCTGTTTCACTCCCAGGAAGTTTTCGATATCGCCGTTCATTCAATTTCGGAAAAACGTACGTAGTACGTACTCATCGGCCGGCACTTGTTTTTGCGAAAATTTTACGCAACTTATATACTAGCACTAATTTAATGAACTATTTTCATCAGGTCACTTAGAAAACGTTATTTTAGCACCACTTGTCCTCCTTAATAATAACAACTGACAACAATTAGTATAATGTGTCCGTATGTTGTTTTGGTGAACCGCATTTTTCCAACGGCAATTGCCAAAGTGTTGTACCAACCGAGCTGGAAGTGAATCTTTGAGTAAAATAAATCTTTTGCCATAAAACAGTAGATGCGAAAATGTTCGGAAGAAAACATAGACACGAGAAAAAACTAAACAATAACTAAAATCTCGCAAAATTGTACTGGTCGTCAAAGAAATTACATACAATGATCGCCGAGCAACTAAGTAGTCCGAGACAAGTACCTGAATAACATTTTATGGGAAAGTCTCATCGAATGGCACTGAACTAAGCGCATAATTTATAAAATTAACTCCAAATATTATATCGCGACCGTTTAGAAACTAAAAAACGCCGAAGAGATCGGGAGATGAACGGCTAAAAAAAATGTCTTAAAAATTGTTTAATCTTTCCCTTAAACCAGAATATTGTTAAACACAAAAATATTATTATTTCTTTATTCGTCCTAAAATAGAGGTGTTAATACACATTTTTTCGTTTTTAATATACAGAGTGTTATACGTGAATGGTTGTTGTTTTTGCTCAAATATTCGGGAAACCTGTGGAGATAATGAGATAAATATTATGTTATTAATTAATAATAATAAATATGAAAATTGATTACTAAAGTTTTTGCGCTTTTATGTTGAAAAGACTAATGAGAATGAGTTTGTTGACATGGTTTATAATTATCTAATCCTAAAGCAATTCTGACAACAAGGTAGCCATTACAAGTTTAAATTTTCATTTGCATTTTGTAATTTTTGTTTGCCAAATAATAGCGCGATGTTCGTTACTAGTGCTTGTGCCAAATTCAAATTGTTGCGTTAACAGTTAAAATACTTAAATCTTTAATACGTCCGTATTTCGATACTTCCGCGGGTTATTATACAGTAAGTCCACGGATAGATTAGACAAGAGGTCATTATTTATAAAAGTTTTAGCTTGCTTTAAAAATGTTAAAAAAAATTGCTACAATGTGTTTTTTACCGGTTAGACACATGTTAATTAAAAATGTTGGCTTAATTTTCAAAATACATTCCAATCATATTTTCGCTTTTTCGTACCGCTACGATTGTGAAAAGTGTCAAGCAAAGTATGCATATGCAGAAGTTTCAGTTCATAAGTTGGTAAGTAAATTCAACAACAACAAATTGATCCGTTACTGATTTGAAGAAAGCTAAGGACAATGATGCTTCAACAATATTAATTTTGCAACGAGCACAAAGTTTGCAAATCATAAAAAAGCCATATTTTAAATGTGTTCAATCAAAATAAAATCCGTCCATATAAACCAGTTTCTAACCATAGCATTGAAGATGAGGACAGTGCGCTCGGATTCCTGTTTGTGGTTGGGCAATAAAATTCTTCGAATACTTTCAACACAAATTATAATGTACTCTTTTCAAAACACGTGTAACAAACATTTTTATTTGCACATGCTAGAAACATCTATGTCACACAAGTTGGAAGAATTGTTTCTTCAGCTAAAATTACGAGTGTCCCGCTTATTATGCTGGAAATGAATGATTTGATGATGATATGTTTCTTTGGAGGCCTCTTAAACAATTGACATCGAAATGTTAAAATTTCGAATTTTTGATTGAAAATCTATGTGATGTATTTTGAAATTTAAAACATTCGTATTTAACAGTTTGTGTTTAAGCTGTAAAACAAGCCGCTTTACTGTTTAGCAAATATTACATTTTTTGACATTTTTGGTACCCTGTACTAAGAAACAAATACATGTTTCACTTTTTAGTCTATTGTCTACTCCATCCGTAGTCATACTGAATATACTTTGCATTATTGAAATTTTAAACCTGTGGAATATTTTTCGATATTTTTTAGCTATAAAAAAGCAACTGTTTCTCAATAGAACTTGGACAAGCTGTAGCTAATAGAACTTTTGTGGTACGACGGGTGACACGCGCCAAACGTCAGTATTTCGACACTTGAAGTCTTTGAGCTGAAACGACGATTACTTTTCAATTTTAAATGAAACACCCTATTTTTTGCATTTTTAAGGGTCTTTTCAAGTTCTATTCGCATACCAATTTTGAAAACATTTGATTCGTCAGTTTTTGCAAGACAGTCAAATGAATGCTTTCCAGACAAAAATTAAATAAATGCGTTTTTATTTGCAATTTAATTTAATAAAAATGGTAATAATAATTATTGTAACGGTGCGTATGAATACAGAGAGAGCCAGGTCATGTTAAATTATTTTCACTTGTCAATGTCAAACATAGTTTTTCATCAGACGGTGCCCCACGGCATTATGCAAGACCTGTTACTGAATGGTTAAATGCTACTTTTCCTTATGGATTGGAAGACGAGGCCCCATTAAATGGCCAGTTCGGTCACCAGACTTAACATCCCTGGACTTTGTTCTTTGGGGATATCTAAAAAGTAAACTTTAGGTTACAAAAGCAAATTCAGTTGAAGAACTGCAAGTATTCATTTGACTGTCTTACAAAAACTGACTAAGCAAATGTTTTAAAAAAGAGGTACCACATGACCCCTCTTACCGTTAAAAAAAAACTTAAAATGCCTCCCTGTTGTCATTTGAGATAACGTTTTTATGTCAAAAATTAGACATTTTAATTATAACGTGAACGCCCATTTCACCGTGCTTTTTACAAGGTTACAAAAATAAAAGGGGGTCCGATCGTTTACGCTGGCACTGTATTATACTGCGTTGTTGATACATGGTGGATGCACGGAATTTTATATTTAACTAAGGAACAATTTTATCGCTCTAGTTTAATAAAGAGATGCTGAATGTTGCGAAGTGTTTATGTCGAGACACCATGGCAATAGAAATAAAAAATGGATTCCTTATAAAAAATAATGTTAATTTACGTTTACCACTGTTCGATTATTATTTGGAAGATAACTATTGCGAAAATACATTTTATTTGTTATTTTATACAAAGCACTTACTTTTTTCTAAACCGCCGAATGGATGAATTTCTGACGTCTTAATTAATGTCCGAAGAAACAAGGGAAATTATTTGTTATGGTATTATCTGTAAGTCAGTTAAAAAAAGCAGCTCTTAAATGCTATCGGGTTCAGAAGTTACACAAAAAAAAATAAAACGAAAAAGAAACTTTTTTGAATGAGAAAACCGTATGTTAAATATGATACAGGATTTTCTATCTAGTTTTTTAATTTTTTTTTTGCCCTTGTCCATAGAAAACTGAGCATGTATAATATAATACGAACTGACCTTAAAAATAATATTGTTTTATATTTAACTTTTTTTTTGTAAATCGAATGTGTTTCCAGATAAGGGGACTTAGAATCTTAGTGGGAAACTTTACATAACCGTGACACACAGGTGGTTACTGAGGTTAATTTTGACGTTTGTCATTTTCGGTGTTCACATCGCACGTCACTCATTTATTCATGCTGTTTTGCAAAAATCTATCTCAAAACTAACTAATGGTAGTAGAAAAATTATAGTATATAAAACTGATAAACTTCTTCAGTCACGCAACTCAACTCGTGACTAAAATGGCATTAGCAAACTTATTGCATAATATCCTATTTGTTGTGGTTATGAAATTTGACTCTAGTCTTATCGTTGTTATTCTTGTGTTAGTTTTTAGTTAGTATTTTTGTGACACTTGTTAATATAAATAAAGTAATTCGAGGGACTTTCGAAAAAAAAAATGCAACTAATCTCTACATAATTTTAATGGCCTAATTGTGATTTTTGAAAATATTTACTTTATGTAAAGTATAATCAGATATTACACCAGGTGTGTAGTTATTAACATTAAGAGCAGTTAATATCCCATCGTAAATATAATGTAATATTTTGGGTAAATTTAGTTTTCCATTTCTGTTGGTTATTCGATGCGATTCGATGAGGATGTTGAAAATTCGAAAAATTATTTTGTTTTGCGTCTCGTGGAATTTGCGGAATTTGGCAGATGAAAAATGAGATGAGAATTGTTATATTTTCGACAGATTTAATTTTGGCTGTTTGTACGTATCGATATCGAAAGGAATGGTGAAATATATGCGACATACCACATTTGCATAGGAGGATAATAATAGTTGAATATCAAATCATCATAGTGTTGATTAAGAAATTATATAAATTAATGTATATTTAATAGAAGTTTATAAAATCTACGAGGGCTATTTAGATATTATTGTCGTGCATTAAATAAAATCTCGAAAATGTGAATTTTTTTTTATTTTATAAATCTGAAATCTAGAAATCTAGATAATATGTAATCTGACGAATACGATTTTGTCTAAATTTCTAATAGGACATAATTTTTGAAAAGTGAAAATTTTTAGGTTATTTGCCGACTATTAGTCCTGCATAATGGTCAACAAAACTGACATTTCTTCATTAGGAAATAATATTAACGTAAAGTAAAAAGTTATACTTTATCCTATTTTATTTCTATCTCAGGTGCGCTTTTGTTCTTGGAGGCTCTACGTTTAGACCATCCGATCCAATTTCCCCTCATATATTCGTTCCTTTTTTTGATCCTAAGGCGTAGAGGATCCCACAATTAGAACTCTTGACTGCCTTAGCCTTGATAAATTGTCCGGATGAAAAGCATTACCGCAGCATCCAGAGCCAGTCTATGAGCCATCTTATTGCGCTCCATACTCACATGAGCAGGTATCCAGAAGACGAAATTGGCAGTGTTACATTATAAAGCAATAAGTTAGCATATATCTATTATAAAATTTGTGGAATGTTCAAATTTCTAGAAAAAAAAAACAGCTCTAAAAATGTCTTACTGACAACTTAAGTTCCTCTACGATTGGTAATATTAGTGGAGCTGGGATTAGTTTCTTCGAACAAAAAATTATGTATTTTAGGTTGTCACGGCAATCAAATGAAAACGAAATGAAAGCCAAGCGTCACTTTACCACGTCAGTTTCGTTTCCCACGAGTTAGCTTATCGAATTCCAAACACCGTCTTTTCACAGATAACTTTTATTTTTGAAATTACATTTAATTAATGAATGTTTTACTCGTCATGTCGCGACTCTGACTGACTGTAAAAACGCCATTAAAATATAAGGTAAAACATGTATAAAGCTGAGCCGCTGAGTCGGCAAAATCTGTTAGGGTCTCGTTCGTAACTCACGGATCCGAGCCACTTCGGGATTTTACCACACGGGTTTGGGAGCAATTGGATGTTTTCGGGAATATTTCCCACGCCTTGTATTTTGACGTTTGTCAATTCTGACGGTCATGTGAATGTATTCGTGTTGTTTTGGAAAAATATACCCAAAAACTAAACGTCGTAGAAAAAGTATAGTGTACAATACGTTCGGTAAACTTTTTAAGTCACTCGTTTATTAAACACTTGCTCCGCTGCGCTCTGCTCGTGTCAAATAAACTCCTGGGCAAATGCCGTCTACCGCACTTGTTGCATAATACACTAGTGTCCAGCGTTGTTAGTTTAAATTAATAAAATATAATGGCAAAAAAGGGATTTTGCGATACGTTGACAATTGTTGTCGTTGACAAAATATTGGAGAAAATTTGATATTATATATAAAGAGCAGCCAGGAAAATGCAGAAACGACTAAATTGAATAACAAAATGTTATATATAAGCCATAAGTGCAATTTATAAAGTTAGTTTCCTACGTTTTTGTCTTGCTTAAGGGCCATTCGGGCTGTGCCAATTTTTACGAAAAAAATGTTCGCCGAAGACGATAGCGGGTTTAAAAATGTCAAGTTACTAGCATTAGGACCGCAAAAGTGGTGCATATCTCCATTTTTGGATATCGAACAAAAGGTATGAACTTACGTTGTTAAAATTCTTTAAAAAATAGATTTAGAAAAGTTTCATTAACTTTCACATTTCTGCTTCTCCACTGAATTTCCATATTTGAATTCATCGATGTCCGCACAAAACTCAACTGGAAAATGACGAAAAAACAGTTGTAAATAATTGAGGTATCAATAGTACCTGTAACTGTGAGTCCAAGCTTCCCGCAGAAGATAATTAATTAACAAATACTTATATTTCTCAAAAACTTATTCATTAACAACAAATATTAATTTTGGAAACGTTTTATTAAATCTGTAAGTAAAAATAAACAATATGAAGTAGTAACTAATATTGTATAGTAAAGTTGCAATGATTTATTTAATTAATGTTGTTTTTATTTTTTATTTTTTCGTTATCAAAAAAGGTAAAAGTTTATTAAGCATTTTAATTTCAATTTGTTTATACCATATTTGTAAAAGTATTTGTTGATAACAAAACTATAACAATATTAATTTTGGAAAACAGTATATTCTGGGTAGAAGGTAATAAATCTTTACCTTTCGAACAAGGAAAACAACATCTACTTACTGCACGAACTTAAAGTAAGAAATAATAAATTATTTCGAGTTCGGATCAATATTAAAAAGTGTTTTTAAGAACTCTCCGTAAAGCAGAATAATAATATAAAAATATATAAAAGATATAAAACAATAGATTGCGTTTAAATCAATTTTCTGTTATGGATTCGTAAGGTTTTTTAAAGGTATTTGGAAGGATTGGCTGTTTTGGATTTTTGTAAAAAATACACCCTATATAACACTGGATATATTTATTAGAGTTCTACCAAAAATGAAATTGTCCCAAAATCGAAAGAGTCGGATTAAAGAAATTATTTCCCTCAAAATCTAGAATCACTTCACAGAGAAATATGGTGACGAAACAAAAGTGCATTTGTTTACATTTTCTATATTAAAATCAGAAGCTTTGTATACCTACGCATGACTTATATGTTTTCGCAATTTCCCATCGAAAGTGTTACAAATAAAGTAGCAAGTTAAAAAATCGGTACACGGACCGCGCATGGTCCGATTCGTGAAAACACCCATATATCAAACCTTATAGTATACACACACACAGACGCACTGAAACACCATTTGTTTTACCTACATTCTAAAAATACTAAAACCGTCCGATTCCAAATGGTCTCTTCTATTAAACAACAGATCCGGATCGCATATTTTGCACTTTTTCAATTAGATATAACAAACCATAATAGAATTTCAAAGTCAACTTCAATTACGATTCTCTTATCAAAATGGCCACCTGTAAATATATTGTACATTTTTGTTTGGACATTTTTGAAAATAGAACAATATTTATTAATATATAAATATATGGCATCCTCAATAATTTCCCTGTAGTTCAAGATGTCCGGCAGGTATCTCCGAAATATCTAAATATCCTATGTTCCTATAATTTTTTCTTATTCCAAATAGATCACCACATATATTTTAGTTATAAGTTAGCATCTTCACTGGCTTGATATATTGTGTAATGTAAAAAAATGTGGACAGATTCTGCAAGATCACATTCTAAATATAAGTACACACCAAATAGATAAAGACGTAGCCACAAAAGGGTGATACGGCCCTGCATTTGATGCGTGTGTAGGAGTGAGAGAGAGATTAAACACACTCACACACATAGAATTTGGAGTCGGCTGTAACTTTTGAAGTAGCGGTGTCAGATTGCCCGGAGAATCTTCAGTTTTCCCAAGACTCTGGCGAAAAGTAGAGGGCAAAACTCAGTTACTCACTTCCTACACGCTTAACAACAAAACACACCGCAATGGTATATATTTTCTTACTTATTTAACTTAGTGAATACTTTGCTGTGTAATTATTGATTTTTCGAACATTTATTCCGGTTTGAAAAAGTCTCAATCGCGATTAATATGCATAACCAAATCTAATAAAGATAATTCATTTCAGGATGAGCTTCCTCCAGAACAGATTGCTGGTGAGTATTGTTTCCTATATTTTCTATATTTGTTTTGATGTTAAAATTGAATGGTCCTAGAAAAGCAGTACAGAAGAAAATATTTAAAATTTTTAATACTTTTTAATTCCAGCTTTTACCAATCTGCTTAAAAGAGTATTACAGTCTCAATTTTTGGATTATATTTCAATTTCAGTGCTTTTATTTAACTTTTTGCTCCCATAATCGCAAACGTATAACAAAAGGATCTGCTGTATTTATTAAAGTATATTCAAAATTTGTCTTTGTAGCTATATATATGGCATATAGTTTTTGAGTACCCCCCGTATACCAATGAATTTAACGGCGTCATAATTTCAAGTTTCGGTATATCTTATTTATGCAAATGACTTTTGGCACGGAAAAACTCGAATTAGGTTGTGGGAGATGTTGGGATTTGATATGTTTTTTGGCACTAAGAGTTTGCAGCTGCTATTTGCTTATCGAAAAGAGCCAAGTTATATATTTCAAGAAGGGTATTTCGGAATGATTATTTTCGTTTGAAACCGCTAATTACACGTAAGAGAAGTTTTTACTTCTTATTCGGTTGTAGGGAATATTTAATTCACCTTTAAAAATTTGAGGTCTTTAATTAATAAACAAATCATGGGTCAATTTAATAACAGTATATGTGTAGCGGTCATACATAACATGTACTAAAAAACTGAGGAAAACCTTTGATACTCAATTTTTTTAAATCAAGTACTTACAGGTCTTATTTCACCATTTTCTTCGAAGCTGGAAGTTGGGTTTTGGGGTAAGAGCTACTAGCTCCCCAAGTTTGCTTAGATTTGTTTAAAACTTGATATCAAGATCACAAAACCTTATGTGACTACTACCTGATTAGGAAGTTTGAATTGAAAAGGCTCATAAAACCCATATTCATTGAACTGCGAGGATATCCAGATTTTTTAGATTTATGTGGTAGATTAAATTAGGATAAAGCACCTAACATGTTTAAATGGAGAGACAAAGTTTGAAGTTAAAAAATATCGAAGTTTTCTGGCAAAAACGGTAGGGTGAATCATAAAATTCGAGATTTTTGCAAAAATTCTCAAATTAAAGTAATTGAGCATCATTAGAGTTCCTGAGAAATGCTTTTGTTTTTTAGTAAAAGTTTTTTAGATTCCTTTTTTAATGTGAGAATTTTTAGGCTTTTTGAGTATTTTTCGTTAACCATAGCGACTTCCAAATAAATGAGAAAAATTAATTATTTGTAATGAAACCGTAATTTGTCAAAAAAAAATGCAAACTTTGACTCTCTGTATGTCGGTATCAAAGAATATTTGGACCATTTTTATATGAACCTTTTCGCGTTCCTAAATTTTGGGCGGTGTATTAATGAATGACCGTGCATAGTGGTAGCGCTATTTAATATTTCACATTATTCTGGGTATCTACCGGAATGGTAAATTGTGACAGTGCGATATACCCGATCTATGCCCTTTAAGTACAGTTAATATGAATGCTTAAAGTGTCTGTATAAGAAAAAAAATAGATAATTAGAAGAACATGTAATTTATGATTTACGTTATCAGTTCCTGTCTTAGCAATTTCAAGAAACGGATAACAATCCCTTTCTAAGTTGCATCCCGCATATTTATTACGCTTAGATGAACTCATCTGCAGATTTTAGGAAAGTGCTTCGCTAAATTTTTTTAGGGGAAGTTCCACCCTAAATTTGGGAAAAGCTGCTCTCACATTTACGCTTATATATCATTTAAATTTTCTCCTTCATAAACTTGTAGTTTTATTTCCAGACAATTTCCAGTTTTGCTCTTCGGTTCTAATATTATAACGCAGTCGAAAACATTGCGCAAGTGTAAAACAGCACTTTTTGGGTCGACAACCTCGCGGAAATCTGGACCGGAATCAGTTATTACAAAAATGTTATTTTTGAGACATTTTTCATTGACACTTGTGTAGGCGTTTCCCTCTTCTGAATGTTTGTATTATGTTTTTTTTTTCGGGGCCAACACTTGCCATTAGAGAAAATTTTCCTAAAAGTTAGACTGTAGCTTATCTATTAACTATTATTAAATTTAGGAATATAAATTATTATTATTGTTTAAGCTTTTGAATGTCTACAATCAGATGAAATGTATTCGTTGTCAGAGTTTGACTAATAGAAATAATTTTTAGCCCTTATTAGATGGCACAAATTTGAAATCCGCTTGTATAATATGAAAATAAATTTTAAAATTTAAATAAAATTTTAAGTTTTTCATTTTATCCAAGACACGTGTCAGCAATAAGACAGAAAATTATTAAAAAAGAACAAACCTATACAGGACAATATCACAGGTAAATGAGCTTGAAAATTAAAAATATATAATGCAGAATGCAATTAAAACTACAAAACCAACTTAATTGGTTCTTTATCGGCTCTGAAACGCACAAAAAAAACAACCACCACTAAGCCACCGTATAATAAAGTGTGTGAAATGTTATCATTTTAAACGTTATTTAAAAAATTCAGATGTTTTTATCTCTTTAGTCCAATCTGGTTTCACAATGAAAAAATAGAACAGCTGCTGGCAAACTCAGCCATTTTCGCTTTACTTTCTGATACTACGGATTTGTTTCTTTATTTGAAACTCTTCAGATTTTTTCTAGCCGCATTGATAACTACATGTAATTTTAAATATTGAATTGAAGAAAAGGATTTCAACTAAAGCTGTTTTTTTTTTAATTCCGGCTATTGTTAAATTTTTAAACTATCGTTTTCTTCTGGTTAAAAACACTCGCCTTTTGTGCTCAACCATTAAAAATGTATCTTTCAAGTTACCACCAACCCAACACTGAATGAATTTAAATTAAATATGAAATGCATGTTTTGTTTGCTTCCAGTCCTCCGTAAAGCTTTCGAAGCTTTTGACAGTCAAAAATCGGGCAGTATTCCTTGTGATATGGTAGCGGATATTTTACGCCTTATGGGTCAGCCGTTTGACAAAAAGATCTTGGAAGAACTGATCGAAGAGGTCGATGCCGACAGTGAGTATTTTACTTTCTTAACAAAATTCAACATTTACATTGGATTACCTATTTTTTTATGATTCGCGCAAAAGTAGAGACTTCTATAGTGTAGTGCCGGGAGACTTTTCTTACCTTAGAGCATAAATGATTAATTTCAAGAGTCAACGACTATAAATTCCACAGAATAACAAAAAATACATTTCTCATTATCGTTAAGAGTTTTATAGTACATAAAAGGTAGACAAAATATAAATACTACCTTGAATTAAGCCGTACCAGACCTGACCTTTTCTTATAATAAAATGAATCAATAAATTATATCCAATATAAAGAAAAGAGAATCCATATGAGTACCGCAGATTAATTTTATTCAATAAAGATATATGAGTTTAATGTGCATTTATTACTTTTTTCTATGTTCCCATACGAACCAAGTTTAAATGGAGGAAAGTCTTTATTACTGCAATTAAAAAGTGAAACACATTTTTGGCACTCAAATAATGTGACCATGACATTGGCATGCAAAACTATTTAGAAACCCACGTTAAACAAAACAAACATTCTGCACTAATTAGGTTTGGGACAACACGCAACGAGCGCTAATGATATAGATATACTTTGCATTTTAAAAATGACAAGGTGAATGTCACAATCTTCTCACCAGTTAAAGTATGCATATTTTCCATTTTAAGAAACAATATTTTGCTGTTCCTCTCTCTTCATATATAGCAGAAAGGGACCAGTAAAATGCGAAACCTTAGCCAGAATTTTGCAAAAATAGGTGTTAGTTTAGTTAATCACAATACTAACGTATTCTAATTCTTAAAAATTACGGTCCGTTTCTCTTGCTTCGTGCCTTCATATTTTGATAATTCATCTGAAACAAACTATTAAATTAAAGAGAAATAAAAAAAAACTTTTACTATTAAAAAGATGATTATCCATGATTTAACATTATATAAAAGTTACTACGATGTTAGTATACAAGGTATTTGGTAAATATTATGCTATTTCCGAGAAAACTGCTCTATCAGATAATTGACCTATTACTAAAAATTAATATTATTAATTATATAATCACAGATCAAAAATAGTATTATATAGTTGTTATTAATCAATGTCAAAATACTTTGGTTCGAAATTATTGATTTCATTGAAATAAACCTTTTTTGTCAAAAACACACAGAAATTTTTATTCACAAGTGAACATAATAATAACTACAATAAGCGTAAGCTTAATTTTCTTTTTTGAAAATTAAATGCCACATTTCTAACACATATAATAACATTTTACCAAACTTGGATGCGATTAAGAAGGATGCAAATCAGCAAACATTTTAAAATAATTACAATTCCCTTAACTGGTTTCAGAGAAAGATTTATTTGGAATAAAATAACAAATTTAATAGAAACCAATTAATTTAATAATACTAATATTTCAAATTTGTTTTATTTTCTGATTACTAAACAAATTTTCCAGAAAACGTAAAATATTAACAAATAATCATTATACCGAAAACTTTGCATAAGGGTATATAAAGTAAATATGCCGGTATAGGTTCCACTTGCTACCCAATGTGCCAAAAACCCTGTATATAATAACTAAATAAAAATTCTTCATTGTGAAATATTATCGATTAGCTATTTCTTAGATAGTGTCGAATACTGTTATAATAATTTAGAAAGAAATTTCTATTCATTTCAGAATCTGGTCGCCTGGAATTTGAGGAATTCGTAACGTTAGCAGCAAAATTCATCGTAGAAGAAGACGACGAAGCAATGCAGAAGGAGCTTAAGGAAGCTTTCCGATTATACGACAAAGAAGGTAAGGATATATCAAACCGAGAGCGATTCCGTCGAAAAATTCTGTGGTTCATCGTAGGTAACGGCTACATACCGACGAGCAGTTTAAGGGAAATCCTCAGAGAACTTGACGACCAACTGACGGAGAAAGAACTAGACATGATGATCGAAGAAATCGACACCGATGGTTCCGGTACTGTTGATTTTGACGGTAAGTCTGGAGGGCTTTATTGGTTGAAATAATGGGCTTATACGTTAAAAGCTTCTTTTCATGCTTATTTTCGGTATATACAAAGCCTTACGTGACATATTTTATGATCGAAATTTCATTGCGTTGCTCGGTCTTAAGGATTATTCAAATAATTCGTTGTGAAAACACCTGAGTTTGCAAACCCTCTGACATAACCTCTTATGGAACTAAGTAGGTTCGTCTATTGTATTAAAGTAATAGTCATAAGTCCTCATAACCTCATAAGTCCTATAATTCCACCATTAGCGCCTCCAAATACAATCTAGTTAACTATTATATTATGTATTAGGCTTAGAATCATTGTATTTTACTGTTACTATTGTTTTCTTTACTTTTTAAAAACCCTTTCTATACAACAATTATTGTTAATCCATCACCATTAGAATTCAAATATAAATTTTAAAATTCTTTCGATACCGCCTGCTATTTCTGAGATGTTTAACTTGTAAAATTTGCTAGCGAAGTTTACGTGCGAGCAGAATAACAAACCTCTTAAAAATAAATATTCACGATTATCTTTTGTTTATATATACGATGGTCGGTGACTCACGCACTGCAATCAGACAATAAAACCCGAGACCGCTTCTAATTTTGGCGTTGGAAATGTTGTAATAATTTCCAGACGTATAAAATCCAGCAGCATCTGACCGGGAAGATGAAAATAGACTCTCGAACGAACGCGTGCGACTGTGTATTTTACTTGGACATTCTGTTTTGAGCCTGTTGGGTTTTGCTTGATCGCGTTTTCATGGTCAATGCGTAAAGTTTGTTTTTCCAAACTTCGATATCAAAGTTTAAAGAAAATGATACAAAAACATACACCTCCTCGTGAAGGCATGTCACGGTGAAAGTAAAATCAAAAATTGTACTCAGCCCAATCTCGAAAAGCGATTGTAAAGACTTAGGGTGAAAAAAAATCGCGTTTTTTGAAAAATAATCTTATATTACAGACAACGAAAATTTACATTTTTTCGTAGAATTGTTTTTGCTCTTCTTCTTGAGGGAAAGTGGTGGAGGGGGTATCCGAACATTTCAGGAAGCTTCGGAAAGGCTTAACGCAGCTTGTCAAACTTGGAGTACTTAAAGAGGGCTCGGGTTAGTTGACTGATTTCGATTGCTTGTATCGCCGATAGAGGGTGTTTTGCTACATCATTACAAATAAAATGTATTTTCTCAAAATAATTAAATGCAACGATCTCTTTTATTGCAACATCAGATAGCCAAATATGGATCTAACATGCTAGTGAAAACCTCATTTCGATATCTCTTTCTTAACCTATAATATAGAAATAAAAACTGAATAATGTCGTCATCTTTGGGAATATTTTCAGGGCAACTATCATCAATCAAATTTTTATGATAAACTATTCAAATCAACTATTAAAATAAAATTGAAAATAATTAAGAATTTACAGTCACTATGTAAATAATTTGTTAAAAAGAATAATTTCTGGCAAAAAGTACGTAAACTTAGAAAAAATAGATACACTTTATTTGCTTTGGTCGTTAGATTTGAAAAAAAAACTAGTTAGTTTTGGTTAGTTTAAGTTGTTAAACGTAATTAGTTCAAACATGTTTGAACTAAATACCTTGCCAAAACAGCCCTTTTGGTAAATTTCCTTGATAAACGTGTACTGTGTAAGCACGGGATTCTTGTCGTAATCACAATTCCATATTTGGGATTTAGATCAATATACGCACACAGCCAAACACTATTATTTATATTCTTAACATAATATCCACTGACATTTCACTATCATATTATAAAGGCATCCCTAATAATCTTAAAAGTCTTGCAATGCAAAAATAATAGGGAAATACTAATTTCTAAAGCCCAGTAGACACGATGCAATTTCTACATATATTTCTGCATTAGCAAATAAAAATTCATGTATTTTTAACTGCCAATTTTTTGATGGTAGACACGATGCAATTTTTTCGAGCAAAATGGGCTTGATTATTTTGGTAGATTTGTTTTTAAGGTTAATTTTTAAATTTTGATACAATAAACGGACTTTTTAGCATTTGTTAGTGTCTCATGTTAAGCAAAAATGTTTTTACCACGCATATAATAACTTTAAATTAAATTAAATTTAAATTTCAGTGCAATTCTCTTACATTTAGAACTAATTGAGGTTATATATTGAAATGCATATTTTTTAAACACCTTGTTTATTAACTTGTTTTATAAAATAGTTTTTAATTTTCTTGGTAGTATTTTGGAATTCCTACGGTTTTTTAAAAAAATTGTCCAATGGCACTTTTTTCATGTATTTGGAAGACGAAACCTCCATCTACTACTACTAGACTTGCGACTTAGGTTTTTCATTTCAAAATTATATTTAGACGAAATTTTTCGCGGTTTCGACTTTATTTACGTCTTTCATAGAGGTTAAACCTATAAGTTTATGAAAATAAATGCTTTGTGCCAATTTACACGCGCAAATTCGGAAAAAAATGGTTGAAAATTTCATCTGCCAAATTTCTTGCAATTTAGTAGCATCTATTTACATGAAAAAATGCATGTAAAAATTGTATCGGGCATACGTCTAGTTTTCCGCACCTGTTTTTTAAAAAATTATACATTTATTTAATTAAAAAAAGGAAACTTTAATACCTTAATTCAATAAACAATGAATTGTGATGAAAAATTGATCGAATAGATGAGAAAATAAAGTTGCGCTAAACATGTTGTTTATGTGGTCTCGTGAAAACCTCAGATTTTCTAGGAAATTTGCAGCTCGAAATCATAAAATCAGACGATTTTCCACGAAATCCCATCGACCGTGTTCAATCGCCATCTGTTCATATATTTCGCGAGAAAATATTTTTAGACATTCTATTTTAGTGCTTTATAGAGGAAATCTGTCGAACGGGTGGGCAACATGAACTCGACGACCAGAGTCAATTTATTTCTGGCCCATAAATCGTTTAAATTCGCATATTTTTTGATAGGTTTCTTCGACTTCGACCGTTGACAGTTTTGAAAACAAAAAGCGTTAATTCTCTCACTTTTTGTGATACAATAAAGCAGTCAAAGCGAAGACGAAGTTTTACTAGTTGGAAACGCTAGTGAGAATTTTTTATTTATAATTTCTTTGTTTCAGAATTCATGGAAATGATGACAGGAGAAGTGTAAGGGATGCAAAACAACAATCCGTATGGTTACTTCTAGGTGCATTTTTTATTTTTGTTGTATAATAAAATTAAACGTAAATGTGAACATTATGTTACATGATAATAACTGTTTTATTATAAAATATTTTATTTTCAACTTGAACTTTTTTCTTTTAATGTTACTGGTTCGAAAAAAAGTACATATACACTTTTTTTACACTTATTGTGTTGTGTTAGGGATTTGTACCATTTGGAAAGCAGTAAAACGTTTACATTAAATGTAACAACCTTCGAAAACAGTAAATATAGCTATTATTATTATTACGCTGTAGGTTCACAAATCCACAAGTATTACAACAATAAACACGTTTTTGCCGAAATCTGATTTAATTTTGATAACTCCGATGCAGTTTTTGCCAACACAAAAATATCTCAGCATTCAAACGCCAATTATATCTTATTATTACCTATATCAATTTAAGGGAAAAAAGGTACAAAGGATAAAAAATATTTTGTAGGAATAATAAACTATGGTACCAGCTCTAAAAATGCGTCTTACGACTCTTTCAACAATTGAAGTAATCACATTAAGAATCCAGAAAATATTTCCCTATAAAATAATTTTGTAAAAAAGGTATCATTCACCAACCGCTACGTATCCAAAAACCTCAAAATTAACAAGTATATTAGACTAGCATATTTAAGCAATGATACAGTTAAAATAGAAAAATTGTATGAATCGATGGCGGAATTGCGAGTATCCAATAAAATTGTTAATTTAACAAAGTAACAATTTTTGTAACAAGGTAATGATAGAAGGAACCACATCAGAAAAGTTCCGGGTAATGATTATTTAACATACATTATATAATCATTATTTAACGTATTATTTGGAAACAGTGGTTAGGAAAAGTGGTTTGAAAACTAGAGGCGTACCACATTTAACTAAAGAACCCAAATTCTTGCTTACGCAGATGATCTTAGCTAGAACGAGGCAAAATCTAGTTGATGTGTAAAGTGTATAGAAAAGTCAGCTAAAGAAATAGGTTTAAAAATTAATGAACTAAAAACAAAATATATGACATCAGTGGGCAGAATAGGCATCTAGAGCTTATAACAGAGACTAGGGAATATTATTTTCGAAAAGTGGAAAAATTTAATTATTTAGCATGAAATTGAAGAAAGGATAGCAAAAGGTATGGGGGATACATCACATGTTAAATTTCGATAAAAGAGTGAACAAAACGATGACCTACTGTCTTGTATGGACGTGAAGTATGGAAGCCCAACAAAAGGGAGACGAAGCATTATAAATATTTGAAAGGAAAGTATTGAGAATATTTGGTGGAACGAAAGGAGAGTGGCTAAAAAGGACACATATGGAGCTTAAAGAACTCTATGGAGAACATTCCATAACAAATGGTGCAAGAGCTCAAAGATTAACATGACTGGGAATATAATAGGATTGGGAGATGAACGTCCTTCTAAGCAGATGTTGAGCGAGGGGATAACTGGAAGAAGGGGTAGAGGTAAGCCGCAGACAAAATGCATTCAAGCTGTTCAAAATGATATAAAGGAAATGGAAATGCAGGTGGCAGGCTTTATTGAAGAATACAATCAAATGGCGACAAATGCGTAACCAAGCCAAGGGCCTTCTGGGCTCGACGATCTGAGCTATATATACATATATAAGCAATCACTTATATTGTTGTGATATTAATTTTAAAACATTCTCCCAAAAAATTTAAATAACATTGACGGTACTTCAAACTAAAGTAAAGTAGTAACATTATGTTAAACAACACCATAACAAGTAATAATTAAGCTATGGCACCAGCCTTTAACAATATTAGAAGAGCCACTGTCTCTCGCTACTGATACAATGTAATTTGTTGAAATGGGGGGAGTGAGGACAAGGCGGTAGTGCTCGTAGTGCTAGTAAAAAGGGCTCTTCATATTAGGTTAATGGAGTTAATATTCGGTGGCTATGGCTACATTATAGGACACTGTGGCTGGCAACGCTGCGAACTTCTAGCAGCAGACTTCAAGCTCACCAGTAGTGGGACATATTCTCTTAATTTTTGCATAAGTTAAGATCATATTTGGACTTTTGGTCTTCTTTAACGTGTGAAATTTTAAAGGTTTTAACAAAGCACGGTTAGTTTTCCAATGGGCATCGCAAACTTGAAAGTTACGCGTTATGAACGATTCATAGACAGTTTGATAAAACTATCAAAATAGCAACAAGATAATAAAATATGTAAGAATTTCAATCGCTTATTTTTGTAGGTTCACTGAGAACACCGGTGGCCTAAGTTATTCCCACTGCTGGTGTTCTTAGATTTTTTACAACCAATGTGCCGAAATATCACGGAGACCATATAGGAATAAATCAAAATTTTGTATAACGTTTTTAATACACCATAATATAATTTAACACACTACTCTTTGTGGTTCGCAAATAATGAGTATGAACCACATATTAAAAATAATTGTCAAAAACAGATAAACAAATAGGACCTTTACATAAGATTACTTCTTCCCACTATAGAAAATAAGCCTGTTCACTCTACTTGCAACTATTAATATATTTTCTGCCATCGAACTTATGATTATTTATATTGAGTATTAAGACAATGAGGTATCGTTAACACTTTTACTAAATAATTGTTCCCATAAGATTTCACTCACAAAAAATACAGTCATAAATTCAGTTTACACTTTTTACATTTACATTATTTTTTACTTGCTTTAATATTTTTCCTCTTAACTTACAAAACTGTATTAATTAAAAATTCTGTCAAAAATTGTTTGCAAAAATTGTATATAAAAAAAACAAAAGAGACATTTAGCTCACGTTAAGTTCAGGGGGTGACTAATCATTCTTAAATTTCGTTTGAAAATATACATTTCTGAGATACCCTGTTTTAGTATATCGCTATGTCGGAATTTGAGATTCACAAATATTGAACTTTAATCATGTGTGGTTTTATTTATTTATTTTTTTAAATCCAAAACGATAGATGATAACACAACAAAAGTTACTTATAATTTTTTACAAGATTCAAATCTACAGTAAATTGTAATTTTTAAAATATAGATTATTATGGCTTATGTTGGAAAAAGTTACCTAATTGTCTAGAACTTGCGAAATTAACCGTTTACTCTAATGCAACAAGATGTTTACTGGAAGCATATTTACATATTATTACTGTATAGCACATCAAAACGCCGTAACAAAATGTAACGAAACCTATGGGACGATCAATTACTGATCACAAAAAAAAAACATATCAAGCAGGAACACTTACTAACCTCCATTACATCACATTGAATGAATGTTTAACTAGCCGTAAAAGCATATATCTGATTAACGGTCCCAACCTCAGGAAGACCACAGTAACGATTTGTACACTTTTTGACACATAAATTGTATTTCCAATGGATCACATTTCTTAAAACATTTGGTGCTTGGAAAGGGGAAAAAACATTTTTTGTTGTCACCAATGACGTTAGATGAAACCCAGAGTGGAATTCACACATGGCCCCAAACCACCCAAAAAAATCAGATTCTACATTGTTACATTTCCAAAATTCAAAAATATATAAATATATAAAAAAAATACAGCTTTCTAAATCAACAAGAATGTAGGACTTTCAGTTTGTTTCTGAAACCCCCCTTGAGTTTTAAATTCTAAATTTTTAGGAGAGGACTGTCAATTTTTAGGCCTAATAATGATTTGGATCTAATATCATTGGTTGTCATCGGTTTCTTAGATTATATTGAATCAATGATAATAGAATGTGTTTCAGTTTAATATCTGGACAAAATTTTATTCTACTATCTTAAGGAAACTGGATATTTGCTTGCAACTTTCAAATTCTTCTTCTCTGTTTTTTCTTTTATAACAGGCATACTTAGAAGCCCTTTACTAATAAAAACAGCAATGTGAAGTATTTCTTGATAACAAACCAAAGTGTACAAAAATATATTTGTAAAAAAAATAACTGTAATATTACAATGCAATGGTCATGGAATATATGTAGAATTACTTCCCAGTCTATTTAAAATACTGCGGAAATTCTGCAAAAATCCCTTTGAGCAGCTGCTGATCCTTTTTGCTCAATGTGCTCTCCTCGCAGAATATCCTTGTAAAACATTTTAATATATCCTCAATTCTATGTCTATGCTCGCTGTAATTTGTGTTACGCATTACCCGTCTACACAGTTCAAGATAATCGTGCCTTTTCTGAAACAAAAATTTTTGTCTGCATTCAAAATATGTCTTTTTAACTAAAAACTTTTTTTTTAACAAAAAACAAAGAAAGACAAACATTTCGGGATGTTTGTTTTCACCACAGTTGAAAAATATTGTCGACAGTTATGTCAATGTGTCAAAATAATCAATAACCTACATGTAGTGTGGGGATTGACCATCAATTGTCCACTTCTTAATTGAATAGTCCAAAAATGTTTTAAATAACATCTTGCAATTGTAGAATATTATCTATCGTTATTTAATAATATTATGTATTTTATAATAAATTATTATGAGTTTGTGACGTCCAATTTACCAACAACCCTCGTCAAGGAATATCTGAATACGATACACTTAGCGATTCGGAGACTCCCAAAACAGCGCGACATCCACATAACGCACAATATAAATAAATAAATATAAATTTCATGGTATTTTTAAAATTATCTCGGTCAAACGACACAAAAAAAATTTACTGGTCAACTTCACAACCCTACCTAGATGTAAGGGGGTCCTTTAAAGGAAAGAACTTCCGCTTGCTTTAACAGGAAAGGAACTAAACATTACAGGAATATTACTCACCTTATCGCCGGGAGAGAGATCTGCAATATTCCTAACGATAATATCAATCAACACTTTAACATCATTTGTATAAAATAAATTTGCAGTGCCCCTACGACTGAATAGATCTTTGAATAACTTTAGTAAGGAATGCGGAGGGGCAGGTTCGTGATCAAAGATCCTTATTGGATCCTCTGGAAGCAAAATTCAATTCAAACCAAAAGCAACATTGACAGAAATAACTTTCACCTTCCCGATTTAAAAGTAAAAGTATTTTTTCACAAAACACTTTGGCTATCTGCTTATCCTCCAATGCGACCAACACAGGATTCGTGACGTCGTCGTCGAATTGCAGATTGAAGGATATGACTAGATTTAAAAACAAATCCGGAATCTGTTCGTCCAGGTCAGTATCAGGAGGGTCTTCGATGTTGTCGAGAACAAAACTTAGAAAGTCATGGCCGATATATTCTAAAATTTAAAGAAATCAGTACAGCAATGGAATTAGCCATTTACATTTCGTAGTATGTGGATATACCTAGGTTAATTATAGGCATGGCTTCCCCCATGGAAAAAACCATTGTTAGTAGGAGAGACGAATAATTCAGTTTTAAAATATTCCTGGGATTGGCCATCATATCTCTGAAAACAAAATAAATAATCGAGCGATAAATCACTCCAATAACAAGAAAAATTCTACCTTGCTAATTCCCCCGGTAAAACCGAATTAAGCATAATGTTTATGACAGTCTTATCTAAACTACACAATACTCCAAAGGCCTGCAACAGTAGCTGCCTTATAGACCAACGGGCCTCCATTTGATAGTACTGTATTAATGTTACAATCACGTGATACTGATCAGAAGATATCACGTGTCTTGATATGCTTGTATCTGCGTTGGACTAAAACCAAACAAAACCAAACGGTTATTTAACAAAAATTGTTTTTATTAATAAAATTATTAATATATAGGTAGCACGTCGAACCTTGATTATGCTATGGGAAATATCAAAAAAACCTAAAGATAAAAGTTGATTAGATTTATTAATACTTTCAAAAAAATAAAATTATATTGCTATACATACAAGGAGGAACACCCTGTATATGAAGGTATATTTGAATTCCTCTGAACTTTCTAGACATGTTTTGTATATAATAACATATACCTAAATCTTACAGTTTTTGACCCGTTTTAAATTTTATGTTAAAAGTGACGTTTCCCAGCTTAAATATATCTATCCAGTTCTCCGACTGAAAGATTGATGAAAGATATATTAATATGATGAGAGTCACTATTAGCAGTAAAACGTTGTTCCATTGTAAAAATACTAATAGTTCCTAAACATGGCACCACTAAAAAAATATATAACTAAGGCTGAGGTGGAGAAATCGATTGATATAGTGTATTTAGACTTGAAAATGTCACTTTTGAAAGAAAATTCAACTTATGTCAGAAATGGTAAGTATAGGATACATGAAATATGTCTAGAAGTTTTTTTAACATGTGTACATAAAATTTAATACATACAAGAAAAACCGCGTATGTTATGAGGTATTGAGATTGAGCATAATACAAAAAAAATTTGAAATATTCAAATTAATTGGTCTCCAAAAGTAAATATTTTAAGGAAACTTTAGTATGCTAAAGCTTAATGAAAAAATGTTGTTTGCTATTATAAATTTGTAATAAAAAATTAGTAGTCTTTATGAGCAAATTAGACATAACCTAGCAAAGTAATATTTACCAATACTCACTAAAATTGATATAAGTTCTGTGATATATTCTTTGATGACGCTTTCATCTTCGTGCAACATCCAACTTCTTTGCTGAGCATCTTCCTTACATGATGTTAGCTCATTAAAAATTATCTTCAGTCGACTTGCATCATGTGTTTGTTCTATTTGACCATCATCTACCACAAGACAGGTTTGTGAATGCGACAGTATTGTGCTTAGATATGGAAAGATTGAAGCTGGAAGCAGTTCATGTAGCCCTTGGATAACAGTTTCAACTGCTACTCTCGACATCTCATGAGATAGGTTTGTATTTATTCTTACACTTTCCACCTAAATATTAAATTTTCGATAATTCTGTAGTGTAATTACATAATACTCACCAGTTCATAAACTGATTGGGCAGTTATCACAGGAGAAACATTGGAAGATGACAAAGCATGTTGTTCTGACTTTTTTGAGTCATACCTTTCACACTTAAGTTCTTCTTCAATATTTTCTATTGACTTTTGGATGCTATCCCTACTGCGTATTATAAGTCTAGTTGGCTGTTCCACTACTGTTCGAGGCTTTATTGCCGACAACTGAGACGAAAAAGAACTACATGTCGAATTTATAGTGTCTACAACATTACAAAAATCGTAACTTGGCAAATTTCAATCTTGCCTTACCTTGTGAGTTGTTGTATGAAAGCTGATTTATTAAATCATCACTTTCCTCTCCTAAACCGTCCTTATCCCCCTCTGCAAGCTGTGCAACCTGTTTCCTGAGTTCCTTTAGTACCAGAAGGTTTTCACTTTTAGTTCCAACCACAATATCAGACAAATCCTTTGTTTTCAAATTCTCCAAAGCTTTGTCAATAAATTTTAAGTAAAACGAAGGGTTAACAGTGACTGTTTCCACATAATTTGAAGGTATGTAACCCACGTCGCCCCATTCATTAATAACTTGCCACCAATGTTTGTGTTTTGTATTAGCCTGTTGGAGTATAAAATATTCGTTGCTTTTAAAGCTTAGAGTTTTAGCGTAAGTCTCTGAGAAGTCGTACAAACTATGAAGCATGTCCAAATCGCCTAAAAAATTCATAATAGTTAAATAAAGAAAGAACAAAATTATTGTAAAACATTAAAGCAGCAAAAACTTACCGACAAACAAACTGTTCGACATGATCACACCAATTTGTTGTTAAACTTGTTAAGTTGTTACCGGTCCAATTAAAAAAAATCAAATTTGAAAGATTTATAACAATATTTCAAATTTCCTACTGTCACGCCTACTTTTTGTTTATTTTTTCTTTTAAGCGACATCTGGCGTTGTCTAGGCTAATATTCATTTGAAATCGATTTTATTAGTACTGCCAAAAATTTCGTTCGTTTTTATTAGGTCCCGAAATCGTTTATTATAATGAACCGACGACGGTCCTGTTAACCGGAAATGAAAGGGCATTAGATTTTGTGTTGCAATACATTAATTATTTATAAATAGTTTTTGAACTCAATCTTCGAATTCTGTCGTTATGGGTAGCAATTAATCGAGGAACACCATCTCTATTCGTTCCCAAAACATTACGTGAACATAACCTTATTCAATTTGTCAGTTACCATTTGCAATTTTTCGTAGGTTATTACGAAATTTGAATATTTATTTAATGGATTGGACGAATTAATAATACCTCATAAAGTTGATGTAAAATCCATCATTATAAAATGGTTGATTCAGAAAAAGAAGAGGCAGTGAATTTGGTAAAGTCCTTAATCAAAATAAAATAGTACAAATCTATCAACAATTTTATTTTAGCAAAAAGAATTCGAGTGGGTTCTACATCAAGAAATTCATAAAGGATTGGACCAAATTCATCAAATATTAGTGGTAATGTTACTTTGTTTAGGCCTTGATCAGTAGTTGAAGCAATTTTTGCTCAGCAATTTTGTTAATGAAAACTTGTTTTAGGAATGTGCCAGACGATTTCCAGTAGCTCTTTATGGACATGATAATTCCAGTAAACAGGACAAATTTGTTCTCTCAGTACCGCTTGATCAGCTAAAATGCATTGTTACTTTAACTGGGGATAGCATTACGCATGCTGTGAGACTAGCAGCTGATTTAAATGATTTTAAATGAATCGATTGTGTGTCTTGTAGGATATAAACTTCAAAGTGAGCCGCCAAAATTCGGGTACTATTGTAAGAACTTCAATTCAAAGTGAATATCCTTGGAAATTGCAACAAGTTCAAGATGCTGCAAATCATTTACAACAAGCTATATATCATATTGATGATGTTGGCAAGAACTATAAATTTAAGTATGACATTTGGAAATATATTTTTGTATATTTCTAGTATGATTTGTAACAATTTTTATGCAGGTCATCAGATGAAGTTTTGCATATTTTGGGAAATATCTTGGGTAGCCTCCAAAGAGGCAGGACCAGTTTAATAGTGCCCAGGAAGAAAACAATGGACGATTTAATTAAAAGTCGAAATATGGTATTTAAAATAGCTCTAGTTTGTTCCATTGTTTGTTGGAATTATTTTTGTTTCTAGAAATCCCTGTCTCCTAATTTGACGGAAGATCTGGCCATAAGTTTTTACATTCAAAGCCACAAGTTAATATTTGCAATATATCAGTTGACGAACAACCATGGAGTCATGAAATATGAGTCAACTCATGCTGAATGCTCTGTGCCTTGGTTAAATGAAGTGTTGGTGCTGTTTACGGTGGGTTTACAGCTTTGTCAACAATTGAAAGATAAGGTAATTTCTTGCTCATTGTTCTGGAATATCTTGCAAAATCTCACTGTTTATTTCTGTGTGGGATTTACACTTGATAATAATAAGTAAATCATAGAGATTTTATTATTTAAATGGTTATGATATGCTGTGATTAAATATTGACCTTTATTGTATTGTTCATTTTCCTGTAAACCACTTGAATTTGAAGTGCAGAACGTCACCTTGATATGAGTGCTTTGTAATTCTTGGAATATAACTTCAATTTTGAGATAATTAAATCTTAACTTTTGTAGGACATTTTAACTTTGCATTTTTGGTAAGTAAGCAATTACTTTTAGTCACATATTTTAACATATTGATAAATGTGTTTTAATTATCAATGTAATTGAATCTAATCTGCTCCACAATGGCCGACAACTTTATTGATTGGTTAGTTAACAATATCATAATTTGTTATAGTAAGTTGTATGCAAGTAATTGACCTTTTTAAAAACTTTTTAAAATTTGGACCAATATTTAGAAAGAAATTTCTCATTTTGCTAAACAAAATAAATTTAAAGGCACTTTATTTAAAACATCTTATAGGAAAATATCAATTTATATCCAGTACTTTTAGCCAGTTACTACATCTATCAATACTGTCAGTTTCAATTTGTTTACTTTGTAGCTAATTTAATTCATAAGTGGATATATTTAGTTCTTATCGACTGATTACCTCTATTTGTTTGCACATTGCATCAGCCTGCATTCAAGTGTTATAAATACAGTGGTTTAATAAATCTAATGGTTTCCAAAGCTGTGTACACTGTTTTTCAATATTTTATTTAAAAGAAAAAGTTAAAATCAATTTTTTTTGTTTTAGATCTGCGTTTTTTCTCAATACAAAGACTTCACAGTAGGATCCCGACCGAACAGTCCTGTAAATTAACGAACGGAAATCTCACCATAGTCACTAATATTAGGGTAACCTTAGACATTTTAAACAGAATATTTTTATTTGAAGATTCCACAATATTGTCAATTGTTATTACCGCACTGCATGCGATAATGTTAGAATAGGGAAACAAATCTACTTAGCCTTAAGTATTTGTTCGTGTTATGTCATGTCATTAAGTTATTGTCTACCAGTTTTAAAAACTTGACACTATTTAACTTTTTTCTTCTATACTGTAGGTTGTTCATCTATGCAAAAACGAAAATTTTGTTATTTCGTCTCTCGATCTAACTAAATGGTATTAGTTGAGCTTATCATCTCACTGTTCAAATTGATGTTATAGTAATTTTTTGTATATAATGTATTAATTTTAACTGTTCAAAAATAGCAATAAAATCAAATTTTAGTCCAAACTTATTATGACTTAATTAATTTACACCCTTGTTCTTGACATGCTTACTCAAATGAAAGGCTAGCCAAATATCTTTTTGAAACATTTTTTTTTGTAGGTAAGGGTTTCACCTAGGTTTTACTGTTACTATAACTCATGTATTCAGTTGTAAAAAATTGGAAAATAATATGCCCCGCAATTTGCAAACCACGGGATAACCTCAAGAAATGTACCCGGTGCTACAAACTCATGTTCCTAAGCCAATTTCAAACTCCTGATCAGTGGAATTTTCCAATTAACTTTGGAATTTTCTAGTTCCAAACTGCCACATAAGTGCAACTTTGCTACGAACTCAGGGTCCTAGCCCAATTTCAAACTCCTGGTCAATGGAGTTTTCCAATCAACCTTAGAATTTTCTACCTTCAAAGTTGCCACATAAGTGAAACTTTGCTACAAACTCAGGTTCCTAGGTCAATTTCGAACACCTAGTCAGTAGAGTATTCCAATCAACCTTGGACTTTTCTATCCTCAAATTGCCACATAAGTGGAACTTTGCTACGAACTCAGGTTCCTAGAACAATTTCAAACTCCTGGTCAGTAGAGTTTTGCAATCAACCTTGGAATTTTTCCAGTCAACCTTGGAATTTTCTAGCCCCAATTTTTTTTGTAGGTAAGGGTTTCACCTAGGTTTTACTGTTACTATAACTCATGTATTCAGTTGTAAAAAAATTGGAAAATAATATGCCCCGCAATTTGCAAACCACGGGATAACCTCAAGAAATGTACCCGGTGCTACAAACTCATGTTCCTAAGCCAATTTCAAACTCCTGATCAGTGGAATTTTCCAATTAACCTTGGAATTTTCTAGTTCCAAACTGCCACATAAGTGCAACTTTGCTACGAACTCAGGCTCCTAGCCCAATTTCAAACTCCTGGTCAATGGAGTTTTCCAATCAACCTTGGACTTTTCTATCCTCAAATTGCCACATAAGTGGAACTTTGCTACGAACTCAGGTTCCTAGAACAATTTCAAACTCCTGGTCAGTAGAGTTTTGCAATCAACCTTGGAATTTTTCCAGTCAACCTTGGAATTTTCTAGCCCCAATTTTTTTTGTAGGTAAGGGTTTCACCTAGGTTTTACTGTTACTATAACTCATGTATTCAGTTGTAAAAAAATTGGAAAATAATATGCCCCGCAATTTGCAAACCACGGGATAACCTCAAGAAATGTACCCGGTGCTACAAACTCATGTTCCTAAGCCAATTTCAAACTCCTGATCAGTGGAATTTTCCAATTAACCTTGGAATTTTCTAGTTCCAAACTGCCACATAAGTGCAACTTTGCTACGAACTCAGGCTCCTAGCCCAATTTCAAACTCCTGGTCAATGGAGTTTTCCAATCAACCTTAGAATTTTCTACCTTCAAAGTTGCCACATAAGTGAAACTTTGCTACAAACTCAAGTTCCTAGGCCAATTTCGAACACCTAGTCAGTAGAGTATTCCAATCAACCTTGGAATTTTCTACCCCCAAATTGCCACATGAGTGGAACCTTGCTACGAACTCAGGTTCCTAGGCCAATTTCAAACTCCTGATCAGTGGAATTTTCCAATTAACCTTGGAATTTTCTAGCTCCAAATTGCCACATAAATGCAACTTTGCTACGAACTCAGGTTCCTAGCCCAATTTCAAACTCCTGGTCAGTAGAGTTTTCGAATCAACCTTGGACTTTTCTATCCTCAAATTGCCACATAAGTGGAACTTTGCTACGAACTCAGGTTCCTAGAACAATTTCAAACTCCTGGTCAGTAGAGTTTTGCAACCAATCTTGGCATTTTTCCAGTCAACCTTGGAATTTTCTAGCCCCAATTTTCCACATCAGTGGAACCTTGCTACAAACTCAGGTTCCTAGGCTAATTTCAAACTCCTGATCAGTGGAATTTTCCAATTAACCTTGAAATTTTTTAGCCGCAAATTGGCGCATAAGTGGAATGAATTCAGATTCCCAGGCCAATTTCAGACTCCTGATCAGCGGAATATTCAAATCAATCTTAGAATTTTCTACCCTCAAGTGGCCACATAAGTGGAATTTGCTACGAACTCAGGTCCCTAGGCCAATTTCAAACTCTTGGTCAGTGGACAGATTGACACACAGAAGTCGAAAGAATCTGTTTACTGAGTTGTCGAATTAAAAGCCATTCGCACAGACGGTAATATATGGATGTCCCCTTAAAAATTTTGAGTGACTAACATAACGAATAAAATAATTTTTTAGTCTTCTGAAATGTCAACTTAATCTTTGTTAAAAAATAGAATAGAATGAGGTGAGGAAAACAATATAGGGATATTAAACAAACCACCTATTAAACTGTTTTAAATATATCAACAGGTCGCAGCGAAATACTGTAAATCCTAGGCTTGCTTTTGGATTTGTTTTCTTAGGAGAATATCTGGACCCTTGTTTTCTAAATTGTTATTTAGGTTTAGATTTATTAGGTATCTATAGAAAGTTGAATGTTAATTTTGGTAATTTGTGTAATTGCTGAAAGCACTATGAATATCCAAAAATCGTATTACAAACTTTAAATCTTTGTAAGTACTCAAAAGTTATTGATATCAATTTGTTTCATGCAATAAATTAAATGACTAAACCTTAACGCCACTTTGTCATTAATCTATATTACCCCCGATATATTATTTTGGGAAATGTAATTTCCCCAGGAATTGTTGCAATTCAATTATCAAATGTGTAAATTTTTATTTCGATCAAGAATATTAAAGGAAATGTTAATTTGAACCTATGTCTCTTACGCATTTATTAAAACATTATTATTTATGCTTAAATTATATAAAATATCGATCTCTGATCTGTAATTTCCGATTTGAGTAGACGACACCTAATTTTACCTAAATTTTAAATAAAATATATTTTTTTCTTATTTGTTTTAGTCTATCGATTCAAAATATCAGGTTTGTATTGTATTGAAGATTTAAGTTGACTGAACTATCTGTCGCATTTACTAGGTGTCTCAAAAAAGCTTCATTATTTTTACAATTTTAATATTGATAAACTTTTGATTTTTTTAAATGAACGCTGTATGTTTTTTAAGAAATTAATTTGTCGAAGGAAGAAAAACATGAAAAAAATGTTGGGAATGGAAAACTATTCATGAACTTTTAAGGAACGTTTTTACTCTGTGTAAGTTGCCATTTTGAATTCCAGCGTTAAAAAAATTCTGTATAATTTTATGTGTCATTTGACAACTATATAAGTCAATTTTGACACTCTTGTACAGTTCATTTTTTTTCCTTAAAAACATGTCAGAGGAAAGCATCTCATATGGAGAAGACAAAGACAATCTGCTTTATATAGCCAAGAAGATTAATATCGATGAATTTGGACTCTATGACGAAGGACTCTTCAGAGAATCTTTACCACCGGAAGATCAACTTTCGGGCAGATCCGCTCTCGGCTCGGATTTTGACTTTCTTGAACAGCTTACAAAAGCGAAAACTTTTAGCAATCCCGAAATTGTGGCAAAATTGAAACCATTTGTAATAAATAGTGTTTCGTTACCTACATATTATCTAAATTACGCTTATTGTTTTACAGACCCTCGAATGGTCCTACGGCATGAATTCCAATGTAGGAATTAGGTATTTAACAAATGAAGACAGAACCGAATTATTTTATACAAGTTGTCATACGGTCATCATATACGATTTTTATTTGAAGCAAATGACACATTTGGAAGGACACGTTAGTTCTTTCGCAACTAAATGTTAATCATTCATTACAATATTGAAATTCCAGCAAAGTGTTATTAAGTGCATATCAACGGATCGAAACGGTGAATGGCTCGTGACTGCCGATCATAATGGTTGCGTTATTATCTGGCACAAAAGAGATCTGTAAATACTGCAATATAAAAATTTGTTTTATTTGAAGGCAGTTTTTCAGCAAACCCGTTCGTACGTTGTTCTCGCTGTATCCAGAAAGTGGTGTGCTTTTAACAGAACTTAGCTGCTGCGCGAGGTATTTGATTACTATTGGTGAATACGATAATTGTTACAAAGTCGATTTTTGGTTGTGGACTCTTGGAGAAGACAAACCAAACGGTAGGGACGGCGTTAAGTGAAACGAAACATCCAAAAATTCGTTAAAAAATATTTGTTAACGACAAAAATTTTAATTATTATTATTAATTAATTAATTTTGAAAATGAGTTGTTGTTTATGAACAACAAACAAAATGAAGAAGAGGAAGTAATAACAATTTGGTATGCAAATTATTGCGACTTAGATTATGTGTAAGCTATTTTTTTACAAATCGCAAAAAACATTAAGGGTAGCAAAAGATATCAAAATATGTACGCTTTGAATTGCAATTGACCTACCTAAAATGTCCCCACCACCTAAAAATAAATTAAAAATTTGTTGATTAAAATTTTTGTAATAAAATTTTGGGGTTTTCTGTTTATAACGAAGCTATTCAAATGAAGTCTTTAATCTACAACAGCGTTTTTAAAATCAAAATGAACTTAAAACACCCAAAATTTCGTTAAAAAATATTCGTTATCAACAAAAATTTGAATTAGCAATATTAATGCTGGAAACAAGTAGGTTGGTTTTGCATACCAACACATTGAAAAACTTGAAGGAGAATTACATAAAATGTTCCATCAACTGGATATTGTGACGTAGGCTTTTATGTAATATGATATTTTTTATTGTTGTTTAATTGTATAAAACAATTGATTTAATAATTTTTCAAAGAAACTTCCAAAGGCTACTGTAATACTTTTTATAAAACTTCTGGATTCCTCCTGCGGCGGTTTTTGTTGACTCGAACTAGCTAACGTTTCAAAAATCATCCTGGCTTCTTCAGAGCTTGACAGTTTCAGTACGAGTATACGAAAACGCGGTTCAGTAGGTATCGCCGTATAAAAAAATTATTATTAAAATTTTATTTGCATTATTTTTTTACATCAGTTGAGAGTATGCAGGGTGTTCCGAAATTAATACACAATTTTTATGTCATATTGGACGTCGAAAATAAGCCCTAGTATTTGTCAAAACTTCCAAACCACATTTTGAACGTCGCTTTCAATCAGAAAAATACACTTTTTATGGGATAAGTTTTTTAAAAAAATTACCAGTGACGTCGTTATTATTATAATAAAAAATGTTGTTTTTAGAATTAAAACTCAACAAGTAGAGTTTCCTATCCTATTTTTGACGTAGAATATGCCATAAAATTTAGGTGCATTAATTTAGAAACACCCTTTATACATACCCATGGGTAAAAATGGAAAAACCATAAAAGTTGGAAAATCTTACTTGACTGGAGTCAAAATCCATGTCAGTGGAACAGCTCCAATTAATTATTTAGATACATTTGCGGTCAACAAAACGAACGGCGCCCCAATGAAAATATGTTTCAACCCAGACGTCCGTGAGCATATCATGTTGGTCTTCGAAAAACAAGTTCTTTTCCTAATTTGGGTATTATAAAGATTAATATGTTTGTAAAACATTGAAATAATGTATTTGTAGGATGAAATGCTTAAAAGATTCGAAAAGTCATACGCGCCGCAAATAATGAATAAAGCGAAAATCGGAACATTAACTTGCGGCGTTTACATGAGCCGGTGCCATGAGAGTTATGTTTCGAGCGGTCGCGGTTATATTCTCGTATTCAGGACGACCCTGTACGGTAGGGAGTACGAAGAAGGCGAAATTAATAACGACAAAATGTTTATTAACGCTGTCAAAGTTACGACTGCACCTATAGGTGTTTTAACAACGACTAACGGGTACGTTTTTGTTTTGATCAGTACTGTTCAAATATGTTCAACATTTTTAATTACTAGATAGTTTTAAAGTTCGGTTGCAGCATTAAACACTAAGTTATATATGTTCGGTGGATGTAAAAAATTTTTACGTTGTCCTTAAGAATGTTTCCGTTTTACAATCTTGTAAAAATGTGGGAATTTTTTAAATTATCAATTTTAATATTTTGCCAGACCTACCTAATTAATAGCTTCACAGGTTCTACTCAAATTTAGATTATAGTTTAATAAAGACCAACTATCTCACATGTACGTTGAAATACTTTAAGCATGGTAATAAAATAAATGACAACGCAAACATTAACTTGCTTGTTAAAAAAACTGTGATTGGCAACATTTAAATTCAAAATATTTTAACATTTCTTAAAAACTAGCTTTTTCAATCGTCATTGCAAAAATTGTGGTAACTCAACGAATCCATGCATTATTTTAGAGTGCTTACATGTTTTTAAATTTTGGTCTTGGTAGCGTGCTTGTAATTGGCGATTCCAGAGGACATATTTACTTTTTTGACAAGAAGGTGAAGATTGTATATTGGATGAGGAACTTTTGCCTGGGCCCTGTTACTGACATAAGTTTTCCGTCAAAGAAAAATAAGTACTTGGAGGAAGAAGTCAAAAGTGGGTCTTTCCTTATTCTCAAAATATTTTGTCTAACAAATATTTGCGACATCTCAGCCAACGGCGCTCGTATTGGGTGGCACCAGTGCTTTAGTCAAATTTAAAAAATTCCAAATTTTAAGTAATAACAGAAGTCACCTCCTAGGAATTCATTCAATATTATTTTATTATATTTTGGTTCTTTTTTTTTATTTAAACAAAAATGACGAAATTTCCGAAGCAATGCTTGCCCCTTTCATTGGAGGCAATCTTTTAAAAATAAATAATTATGCCATTTTATTTTATTTATTAGAATTTGTTAAAAAACTTTCATTTATTTAGGAATAGAAACGCATAACACAAAAATTGAAGGCACATTTTTGAAACATTTGATAATAAAAATGGAATTCCTTTGAAAAAAAAAGACTTTTTGGAAATTTGGAAACACATTGCAGAAGTTATATCACTTTAGGGAACTACTCTTCGGGATACTGCAAAATTGCGGCCAGAATTTCAGTTTTCTCAATATTCAACTAACCCAGCCATAGATAATTAAATTGGAGTCTATTTCATGCAAAAAAAACGCTATAAATATTAAATTAATAATCAATCAATATACAGATTGTCTCCTTCAAAAAAACGCATTTCTCATTACTTTTCGATTAGTAGCAATACTGTGTGACATTGAAAATATCGTCTTCCCAACACATATAATGTTCCGTCAACCGTGAAACACCCTGTATACTTATTCACTTATTTGATCCACCCAATATAGAGCAACGCTTTAAAAGCGCGAGTGCTATAAAATTCCAAAAAAAATCGATTGTAGAAAAACCAATAGATAATAATTACGCGACAGATGTTAACTTTCAAGATGCTCACGAGGACATTGCAAATTATATGGCCCGGGAAACACCACCAGATAAAAACTTAGAAGGAGAATTGGCGGGAAAATTTTTCGTTTGTAATACGCGAATGTTCTGCAACTAAGATTTGAGTGACTGTTCTAACATTTTAGCAACTGCCGATTGCAATATTTACGTCATAGATTTTGCCGATGGTAAATGTGACCCGATTTTCCATATTGCCGATGCTAACGTGACAGCTGTGGATGCACACGATGAGAAGTAATTTTTAACTTTTTTGAAATTGCCGTTTAAAAATTATATGTTGCAGACCTTATTTGGCAGTAGGTTATGAAAACGGAAGAATTTCGCTTATTAATTTCGAAAGTAAGGAACAAATCAACACCGCAACATTGCCGAAGACCGATGAAAATCCCTCTATATCTTGTATTAAATATTCATTAAATTGTAAGCTTGCTTCGGATATTGTTAAATCGTAGTGATTAAACTTACTTATAGCATTGCATCTAATATGTGGACGGTATAGTGGAGAAATATGCATACTTGAACCTGTAACTCTTGAACATAAGTTTTGCTTCAAGTGCACCAAGAGCAAAGTAGAAAAAATCGCGTTTTCTCGCAATTGCTTGCAGTTTGCTTGTTACGTAATAACGTAAAAAGGGTGATTTGAAGAAGTCCTGGTAACTTAAGTTTTTTTAGGACTACAACAAAACCGTTGTATTATTTAGATATGATCCAGACAGTAGCCGCTGGGAACTTCAAGGAAAGTTGAGGTCTCATTATGACTTGATAAATGATTTAATGTTCATACCTAGTAATGATCAGGCCAAGTCGGTGCTATGCACTATAGGTTGTGATAGGTATTTGGTTCAATATATCACGGACTTAAGGTATAACATTAAACTGACCAACTAACCACTGATAACAATAACATTTAACAGAGATGGACCTTTCCGAATCAAATCCAGGCATAGGATTGAACAGACGGCTGTGCCGATGAATTTTCTTTATTTCGTTAAGGATGTTGATGAAAACAGAAGCGTTGGGTATATTTTGATTGCTGATGACAAGGTAAGATCATAATCATTTCTAAACTAATGCTCTCAATATTTTAATCTAGTGTCTTGAGTGTATCCTATATCAAGGTGAATTTTTGGCTTGATCATTATCGGGTTATTTTTTTTATTTATAATTCATTTGAATACTTTCGTAGTAGATCACCACTTATTTCGATAATCTCTTGTACATCACTAATGCGATTGGTTTATTATAAAATTCGACATTTCTCAGTTATTTTGAAAAAAAACGAAATTCTGCATCTATATGTATAAATATACTTTCATATACATAGAATACATGTTTGAAGCCGGCAAAGTTCCCAGGTAGAAGAGGGTCGTCAAAATGAGATCATTAATTAATCACCAAATGACGAAAATGACCTTATATGACATCAGCAAGACGTGAATTTGACCTAGTACTGTCTCAGACGAATGATATCTTTGATATGATATCTTTTAGGTCAATTAATGCCGCCAATTTTTGTCATTTAAGTAAAACCCTTTTTTTACGCCAAATTAAGATAAAATATGACGATTTTTAAATTGGTTTTTCCTTTTTGCAGTGGGGAAAATCGATTGTAAATTACACAAAAACTGCCGCTTTAAATTATATTGAATGTCTTTTGCGGTTGTGGAAAATGAAGAAGTATAGGCAATAAATAAAGATGAGCCTCTCTTAAAAAAAAATAACTGAAGCATTATATAGAGGGTCTTCCATTTGATTTTTGCGCTAAAATTAATATTTTTCATTTTGACTCACCCTGTATAAACGATTCAAAATATAGGATAAATTACTGTAGTACTTTATAAAATTGTTGGCATAATAAAATTACAGCTGTCCGAAGCGGCGTCAAAAATACAGCGCATTTTTGACGAAAATAAATAAATAAGAACTAAAAGTTCAGATTTTCACGAAATTATATATTATGACATGATAAAGACACGGTGTTGTCGAAACAATTGTTATGTCATAATATATAATTTCGTGAAAATCTGAACTTTTAGTTCTTATTTATTTTGATAAATGGATTTTCATCAAGTAAAAGCCACCTCAGTTCATATCAACCCTACAAAAAGGAGTATCTATTAATGCCATAATATACAGAGCGTTCCATATAAAAATATAAGGTTGATTTCCCACATATATATTCTCTTACATTATGGTTTTAAATTGAAAAATTTGATAATAGTTTAAATTACTAGGAGGTCAGTTTTATTATGTTAATAAGACGTCCCGACTGACGAGGCTCTGCTACCTGGGTTATCATTTTGGAAATATTTTGTGTTAATGTTCTCCAACAAAAGGCAGCCAGCAGAAATGTTATAACTCAACGGAAATGTCCCTTATTATTCTTTATTTCAGCACAAACTGAAATTTTTACACGAAGCCACCAAGATTCCTCGAGCTCTAATATTAGGTCCTGCATTTGGGTGCTTCGATGAATCTCACATCAGAAAAATGGAGGTAGACATAAACATAGCATTTCGTTTAAATATTAAACACACTGATCGCAACAGTCCGGCCAGCCACGATTAAGGGGCAAAAATGGCAGAATGTATGCCATGCCATGCCATATATGAATATATCTCAGCAATTTTGATTGTAACATAAATAGTTGTTAATAAAAGTTTATAATCTGTAACAGAATATATTGAAATTCCAAAGTTGTTAGTGGTTTTTGGTGGATCTGGCAAACGTATATTTATCAAAATATATAATATAATATAATAATATATTATATAATATAATAATATATTTCTATCAAAAGTTCTTTTACTTGTTCGTTTTCCACGGTTTTTAATTTGACCATAATTAATTCTAATGTAATATTAAGTAGGAAAAGAATCACACCAAGATGCTGTCGCTTTTTCTCATAGAGAGTCATTTTCTTGTAAAACTTGAGTGAATATAATATTTATTCAGTTTTAAAGTAGGTACGCCACTTTCAATGTTCAACCTATTGTTTAAGCATTTGCAGGGCTTTCTGTTGAAAATACGTTTTTATTTTTAACGAGGGTCAAAATTTCAGAATCGAAATTCTGGTTTTGCAGATATTACCCCATCACAGTTCCAGATATATGATTTTCGTTTGTCAAAAAAGACTAGGCCTGCAAATTTTACCGCCCGACGGTAACCCGTTTAAGTACACGGGCTATTTGGCTCAGCCAAATGAGGTATAGTTATCGTAAACAGTTATCGCTGAATTAAATCTAAGACATCGAATCCTTTCCACCTTAGGTTAAAGATTTCACTATTTCGCACGATGGCCGCTCAGTGTTCACATTCGGAGGCGATGACAGATGTATACTTCAATGGGAGGTGAAACCCAGGTACTGCCACGTAGCAAAGTGGTTACTGCGAATTCAAAAAACTTTTTGACGCCTAGATCTGTCGAAGTGCTGAGGGTTATGGGCGGAACGGAACTCGAGCCGTTCTACTGTCTCCTCGAGGGTGGAAAAAACGGGTGGTTGTTCCAGGAGATGCAGGATTTGTTCTTCTATATGCAGATCTTGCAACAGGACAATATCGATCTGCCCAGGCGAATGTCGGACAGTCTTAATATATCCGAACTGCCTGATCTTGTGCGAACTTGCGGGTACTATCCGAGCGATTTTGAGGTGATGCATCATCAGGGTGTTATTGAATCAGGGTAATTATTACTAAAATCTTCGCATTTAGTTGGAACTGTTATTACTCGAGGCAAAATATCAGGACTTCGACGAAACAGGTGTAATCAGAGATGAAATTTCGTTTGTCGAATTTGCTAAATTGTTTGCAAACCATCGGCCCGCGTACGGTTACTCCTCGACACATATGCGAGAAATATTTGATGTTATTGCAGGCATGGCCGAATTTCCACAGTCCGGAAAAATCGAGACTAGTGAATTTTTATATTTACTGCAAAGCGTAGGTGAGTATTGAATTTTTGGGATTTCAGTCAACTAAATTCGGTCGAACATTGAGTATAAGGCTTGTTAAGCTAAAGTATACAGGGCGGTTCACAAGTTGCGTCTCCTATTAAAAGTTCTGGCGAATTAAGATAGAGTGGAGCTATGGTTATAATAGCTATTGTAGGTCCTAAACCGATACACCAGGTTTTCGGGAAAATGATAGATGTCTCCGGGACCTAAATAGATGATGAACATGTTCGTATATTTTTTTCCTAATGAAAAAAATTGGTTTACTTAAGCCGCAACAGTTTAAATAATTAAATAATAAGTTGAAAAAAAAACATTAATTGATTTATTACTTTTTTATAAAACCATGTTTTAATTAAACGCGTATTAATTTATAATCCCATCATTGTTAAAAAAATAGTAAATTTAAAAAAAAATGAAATAAATAATAAATTAAGTAAATAGTAATAATAAGCTTTTTACCTCTCCTATATTTTCCCCTTCCCATTCCCCATCTTTTCCAATACAAAGGAAACACGACGGACTTACAGATACAGCTAGATATACTACTTTAGGTCTTTATTATAAATGTTAAAAAAAATGTTTAAAAAAACCAATTGCTGTCGATTAGGGGCCGATATGAAAAAATGTAAATGAACTTGTCAGGTAATTTTTTTTGTTTTCGATCTGAATCTCAGAGATTCCGCGCATCTTCTAATTCTTATAAATGTTTAATCATATATACTATCTACATAATTATAATATACTATAATACAATATTATATTTGTCTAGTCCTAACCGCGAAAAAAAATTTTCATCGCACTTTATTGCGACTACTTACAACATACGTACTTACTGCGTTTTGCTATTTGATAAATTGATCGATAGTTGAATAAACTTTGTATAATTTTTATATAAATAATAATTTTATGTAACAAATCTATAGGAGAGCCTTGCATCAATCTCCACAAACACTTAGCAACCCTGTTGAGAACCGGTGCTGTTTATGAAGAAAATAATTATGAATTTCTACCAGAAGTAAGTTTGTGGTTTAATTAGATATAAATTTATTATTACGTTATAGATGCAGGCATATAACGTTTAAAAACGAAACCTTTAGATTTAAATATACTAAATTATTAATTATTGTTATAGGAAACATTATAGAGCGCAGTTATAACTAGTGTTGGGACTGGTTAATTGACCGGTAAATTGACCACTTCTTAATTGACCAGTCAATTGTCACTTTCTAATTGACAAGTCAAAAAATATTTTAAATAACATCTTACAGTGTGTTATTTATCGTTATTTAATAATTATCAGTCTACACAGTTCAAGATAATCCTAGCTTTTCTGAAACAAACATTTTTTCTTAATTCAAAATATGTTTTTTAACTAAACATATTTCTTTAAACAAACAACGACAGACAAAATTTTCGGGTGTTTGTTTTCACCACAGTTGAAAAATATTGTCGACAGTTATGTGAAAATAATCAATAACCTACATGTAGCAGACCGGTCAATTGACAACTTCTTAATTGACTAATTAAAAAATGTAATGTAGAATGTTATCTATTTAATATTAAATATTTTGTAATAAATTATTATGCGTTTGTGATGTCCAATTCACCCATAACCCTCTTCAAAGAATATCCGATACGATTCGGAGAATCCCAATAATAATATAGACTATTTGCTTCCCAGAATGACGCGACGGCGACGTAACGCACAATGTAAATAAATATAAATTTCATGATCTTTTAAAAATTACTGACCAATTGACTGGTCAATTGATACCTAAAAATTTGACCAGTCAATTCAACAATAGTTATAACTGTATAGTAAACAGAACTAAAACAATGAATTCAAATTACTATAATAGATATATTGTAGCATTTCTATTAATTAGTGATATATTCGATTTAGTAGTTAAGTAATCCAGAATAATAATGTAATAAATATGTCAAAACCCAATCATATATTACACCTATGAAAAGATGAAAAATGAACGAAATATTCTTTAATAACCTTTCGTCATTTAATTTAATTAAGTTCTCAAAATTTCTCTCTCCATTGCTCTAGCTGTTTTTGATATATGGACCTGAAAAATTGGATTTGGGTTTTTTATGGGGATAGGGAATACGATTCTAATTCTATGTAGGCCTGAACAATACATGTCAAATTTTTAACAGGGTTCAATTTTTTTAAATTCAAAATTGCGACAGAGTAATTAGATTAGGCATGTAATTAAAACTATCTTATTTGTATACGTATATGTATAATGTGAACACCTACATATTAAATTTTAATTTAAATTTTTGAAATATATTCTTTCCCACATTTTACAGGAAATAGACGCCAAGTTCTTATTCGATGAAATGCTCGGCATTTGCAAATCGAGCTCACCGAGGCAAGTCGAGGATGAAGATGAGCAATGAAAGCATCTGTGAATATGTATTTTTTATTAAAACCTTTAACCAAACCACAAATTACGCTAAATTCAATCACTGGAATATCACATATGATTTTGTGTAAGACGTTAATCCCAAACTTAAACAAGTTTTTAAAAGTTCCACAAAATAAAGAAAAACACAAGAAAATAAAACATTAAAAATGCAGGTAGAATAATACTCAGCGCGAAAAAAAGATCGTAAATTGAAGGGTTTAGTGAGCTTTCTTTTGAGCAACCCGAGATTTGGCATTTTCGATAAGATTATTGGACAATTTCGCGAACATCTCCGCGAATGTCTTGAGCATCCCATGGCGCAGCATTCCTGGCAGCATCAGGACGAAGTTGACACAGATATATCCGAGAAATGTGTTATCAATTGCGCCGCCGATCCACGTTAACAAGCACAAAACCAAAATCGTGACGCTAAAGTACTAAAAAGGAAACTTTTTAAATTTAATTCATGTGCGCAATAATAATCTATAAATTTAGTTTCTACCTTTACTTAAAAACAAACATATTAAACTTTATAAGTATGATGTTATATTGTATATAAATATTATAAAAAATGTAATAATATACCAGGGAAAAGTTGGCTATCTTAGTTAGCCTCAGCAGAAATCACTCTGAATACAAGTTACCTACCAGCTTGGAATTCGTGACTCTCAGCCTACCATATGATGACCACAAAAGCTCCATTTTGGTTTTGTACAATACGATATTTGTGCATATTTCTTCATACTGTTTTTGCTTTTCAACTGTCCATGTATCTGACTTAAATACATTTCCAAGTACTACCGGCATAAAACAATCTGCTAATGTTATTATAAGTCCCAAGATAGATAAGATGGTCAAAACATTAGGAGAGAACATAAACAGCATAAAAAATACAAGAGTATTGCCTAAAAGAAATAACTGAAACTCACATTCTTACTTTTAAAAAACGTTTTTTACCACACAAAAGCGCAGTTGGATGCCATGGTTTTTCCCATAGTAATGCGTCGTTCACTTGAAGTATTAATTCTCTCCATGGCTCCATTGAAAGTTTTAGTTTCCGCATTTGGGTTTCCTAAAACATTCGTTAAATCCTTTTAAGTATGGGTCTTGATATACGAAAATCACGTAAACCACTGTGTGGAAAATTACCACAGTTGACGCCACAGATATTTTATAATCAGGGGAAATCTGTTGGAAGGCTACAGGTTCGAGAAGTGGCTGTTTCATAGGCTTTTTTAAACCTATGTCTTCGTAATTGGAAAGGGGATCGACATGTCTGTAGGTGTGTAGAATATTATCGGCCTTAAAATATACAAACTAGCCATAGCGAAAAACAAAAAAATTTGAACCTTACTGTTTCTGGCATTGTCGCGCACGTACTTTCTCTGGAACAACTTTACAAAGTTTTTTTTAAAGAAATGACAATTTTTAAAAATGTTTGTCAACCGTCATATTGCGGCGTTGTCAGCTGTTCGATTTACCTGTCCTGTTAGAAATTAGTTTTTTGTGATTATTTAATTAAGTAGTCGTTTGCATATTCTACAGAAGTAAAGCTTTTAATAGTTTTGAAACTGAAATAAAATAAGAAACTTGTTTAATGTTAATTTTATTCGTTAACCAACAAAAATCCTCCTTGGCAAGCTGGGTTGCCTATACTCAATGTTAATGATATTTCTAATTATAAATACAAGCAATTTAGACAAGAATAATTTTAAATGTTGTTAAATGTTAAATATAATTCCCTAAATAAAAATATCTATATTTATAGAAATTGCATTCGGGTGAGATAAGTTCTTAAAGCAATTATCGATAAATTATCTGATTCTATAATATTGCAGGAAGCATAATACAATATCATTAACTACAATTGCTATTAATACGGTTGCAAAGTACAAAGCAACTGTTCTTCATAAGTTCGTTTAAAATAATATTGAAATAAATGTATCCATATTCTATCACTCCAAGAATACGAACATATATTAAAAATATATCTAAGCTAAAACCCGATATGATTTTAAATGCAAACAAAAAATGTAAGTTATTGTCACAATGTTCCTCAATAAACAATTATCAGGAAATTTTGATAAAACAACCTCAGCATGCAATCCGACAACATTGAAATGACTGATTGAAATGCGCCAATTTGATTGGTTCTAAAATTGAAAATGTTCCGTGATGTCAAGAGTCACTTGCATCAAAGCATTATTTAGACAACGCTAAACTTTCCGATCTTTTTGATTAATTTTGCTGTTATTTTCCCATTAATTTGTGTTCAAGTCATTGTGATAAAGACCTTACAGTACCAACTGAAACGGTAAGCATAACATGGTCGCCTCAATTTTTTATTTAATAGCCATTTTCCATAATTGAAGATGTCGAATAATGTGGAGAACCTGTCGCCGCAAATTATTCGTGGTGTTGTTAAGGAAATGCAGGATCTAGTCAATTCACCACCTGAAGGAATAAAAGTTCAAATAAACGAAGAAGACGTGACCGATATTCAAGCATTCATTGAGGGGCCTTCGGGTATATTTTCATTGAAAAAAAGTATGGGATTGGTATTTTGATTTTGCATCCTAGGTACACCTTACTTCGGTGGTAATTTTAAAGTAAAACTGTCCCTTGGCAAAGGATTTCCAACTGAACCGCCTAAAGCTTATTTTCTTACCAAAATTTTCCATCCAAATGTAGCGGTAAAAGGGGAAATATGTGTTAATACCCTAAAAAAGGATTGGAAATCTGATCTCGGAATTAAACACATTTTACTTGTAAGTAGCTAATAAAAATAAAAATCCCAGACGCCTCAAAATTTATAAAAATGAATGTCTGTGTCTAAAATATTTCAAACAGCGTCGGTTGGTTTTACTTAGTATTTAAATATTTTTAGACCATAAAATGTCTTTTAATAGTACCAAATCCAGAATCAGCTTTAAATGAGGAAGCGGGTAAACTTTTGTTGGAACATTATGATGACTATTTCCAGAGAGCAAAGATGATGACTGAAATACATGCCCAGGTATTTATTTTTTGTGCATAAAAAACTCCCTATAGAGATATTTATCATTCATGAATGACATTAGAGTATTAAAGCCTGTCACTCGCTAGAGTAATGGTGTTACTTACATTTGAAATGATACATATTAATTTATCTCTCTCAGTGGGTGACCGGCACACTATAATAAACATATTGTAGTCTTTAAGCTTTAATCATTCCGGCTGCTAAGAATTTTGTTTTGGTTTCAGCCTCACAAAAGTAAAGGAGTGCTCACAGAAGGGCCTTTGGCAAAAAAATTGGCTAGCGACAAAAATAAGCTAACAGCTGAAAAAAAAAAGTTAAAAGACAAGAAGAGAACACTCAAACGTTTATGAGAGCCTGCGTAATTAGCTATTTGAATATGTTTTTTTTTAATTAATTTATGAAGCATTTTTAGACCTTGATTTCATTGTTTTCCAAATGTGTGTGTTTTTTTTAGCACATTTTTTGTATTGCGAAGGTGGTATTCAGTTTGTTGACGGTGTTTGTGTCTGTGAAATCAAAATGTTACATTGGTCAGTGTCTTTGGACTCGGAGCTTCTGGCTCTGATAGAGTTTTGTAAGCTACTCCAATTTGTGGGTTTGAATGAAAAAATGTTAGGGCATATCTTAAGGATGTTGACTGGAGGTACTCAAAGTCTGAAGTTTCAGGAATCAAAATAAGTGGCAGTGAAATTATTAACCTATCATTTCCTATGACCATTAGCAGCATTCTAAATACAATTGATGCCCACAAATTTATAAGGGGATAGCCATTTATTTTGTTAACGAGAGTACAATGATTTTATTAATTTGTTTTAAGTGAGGCATTTTTTTTATGTTGTAGTGCAATTAAATCTTGATTTCAGACTATTTTCTAAGTACATTGAAAGTTCCATTCAAATTGTGTTTTTGTAGTGTTTAATTTTTGTCACTTTTGAATAAATTAATTCCATTTAATTGTGGTATTATAATGCGAACTTAATCTTAAATTAGAGTTTATTATACTTTTTAAAAAACTTCTGGATTCCTCCTGCGTCGGTTTTTGTTGACTCGAACTTGCTAACGTTTCGGCAATCATGACAGTTTCACTCAAGCTCTGAAGAAGCCAACGGGATGATTGGCAAAACATTAGCAAGTTCGACTCAGCAAAAACCGACGCAGGAGGCATCCAGAAGTATTACAGTAGCCAACAGTAGCCAGTGGAAGTTTCTTTTAAACATTACGAGTTTACCATCTATTTTTTTCATGCCTTTTGTTTAATCCCCACATTATAGGGCCGCATTGTATGATTTTTATGAACTTTTTTCTAGAAGCATATTAAGAGATCATCGCCCAAGTGTGTGGATGCTACATAACTTTTTTAGAAGCGATTTTCGTAGAAAGCTTATTAGCAAGTATTTTTAAATTAAAAAAAAAATTGTACTCAAACACCCAAATTCCTCTTTACCTCTTTAGATATATTTTCCAGAAATTTTTAAATTTAATTTAATTAATTTAAATTTTATTTTTAACTCGAATTGTATAAGGAAAATGACTATATGAACAATTATTCCTAGTTTAAAATTTAATGTCTATTGCAGAGTTTCTTTTCTAGGCTAGCCACAAGTAAACAGAAGCAGATTAGTTCAAGAGAATAAAAACGATTTTATTAACATAAATAATTTAAAATGGTAATTACGTTTTGACTATATTATAAAGGACTTTTAATGAAATGAAATAAAAATATTAAAAGTTCTGGTTAGAAGGAAATAGAAGTTTTAATAGCTTAAGAATCTTCATTTTGAACTAGATAATTAAAAAAAAGAGATTTGATGGTTTTAGAAGGTAGAAAAAATATAGCGTCATATTTTCAAACAAAAAATTGCTAAAAAAGCTTGTACAAAAATCGTGTCTGAAGAAAATTAACATGCACGCTTAAATAACCTTCACCCCTAAAAAATTATTTCAAGTCGTGGACTCCCGGTTACATTAACTGCGGTTGTTAGGTCAATTTTATACACAATGTAGGAATAGGTAGCACCTATTGGATGACTTCCAAAAACTTCAACTCCATTGGATTTTTTCGTCGGCTGAAGTTTCATCAAATCTGGTATGTATATATGTTACCTTCGATGGCTAATTTTCGACTGGGGGTTTATATTTTCACCACAATGTCATTCAAGTTTGGCCACGTCCTATATTTATAAATATTCCTCTTTTTTTCTAAATAAATATAAACGAAATTTGGAATGAATAGAACATATGAACAAAATACTACATTACAATTACAAAAAATATATATTTTTACCAAGAAAAATGTCAAAATTATACTGAATACCAAGAGTATCCGTTTATTTAAACAAAAGTATCAATATTATTATGGTTAATACTGCTGCTACCACTATCAATATAATCTTGCTCTGAAAAACCGAAACGATGAAGAGATTCGTGATCTTTTATTCAGTTAAATAATTTACCTTCAAGTATTTAATCTTTTTCTTTTCTGCTTGTGCCATTTCTTTCCGTCCTTGTTGTACAAAGTCTTGGGCGGCTTGCGCCTGATATTCGATTCGATCTACTAGCCCTTGCTTATTAAAAGAACAAAAATATATAACATATAACCTTTATTACATTTATTTATTCTTACTTGATGATCTACGAGAATCGACATTTGTATAAACAGGTCTCTAACGTCCACTAGCATCCTTTCAATTTTGAGTAATTGCTGGTGCCTCTCTTCCAAATCTTGGAGAATGCGTTTCGTTTCAGCCGTTTCCGCTAAAATCTTATAAGAATACATAAAACCTAAATAACGCAAACTAACAACTAACTTCTAGGTAAAACGTTATGAAATACACATGTTTTTTCTTTGTATTTTTTGCACGATTCGATAGAGCGAATGTCGTAACTTATGGAACTATACGAAACACTTACATTGTCGGTAAAAACTTGGATATCGGCTTTTTCTTCCAGCAAGAATACCAGTTCTTCTTCAGTAACTTTGACCCCTTTCGCTCTGAGCTGAGCGTCCAATTGTGCTTTTTTTACATTCCTGAAGTTTTCTAGTTCAACGGTGTTTTGATTGAAAGTTTGTTGGAACCTAGTTTTTAGGGTGTTATACTGAATGGTTTTTATCCTTCCTTCGGCTGAAGATCCGTTTGTTAGTTTTAAATCTTCGTCAAATTCCTTCAGCTTCGTCGTAATCTGTTGGGAGATGCTGGTGTTGTTTTGAAAAAGTGACTCTATTTTAGTGTTCACGTCTACAAGAACATAATATTTTCCTAAATATTAATTAGTTCTTAATAGCGTAACGTAACACATTATTAGATCAGCTTCTTCACTATTTATGTAATTAACAATTTAAGTTTAATTTGGAACTTCTAACGTAGGAGGCAGCTTTAGTAGAATATTAAAGACATTTAAAAAAATGGTATTTGAAAAATTTTGAAACAAAAATAAATAATAAATAAAGAAAAAACAGATAAAAACATCACCTTCCATTCAATTTTTATCTTATCTTAAACATATATTTTTATATTCCCTACTTTACTTCTTCAGTCGCTCGTGACTAAAATGGCATTTATGAAACTATTTTTAAAGTATATTGTATTGAATACGTTCTTGAGTGAGTCAGAAACAGATTTTTTGTATATGTATAGAGTGTATATGTATAGGTAAATTGGACATCACAAAAGCATAATAATAATTAACATTATTATTAAATAATGATAGATAATACTACCATTGCAAGATGTTATTTAAACATTTTTTCACTAGTCAATTAAAAAGTGATCAATTGACCGGTCAATTAACCAGTCCCAACACTAGTTATGCTGAAGAAGAATGAAGGCTATTTTATAATGGCGATATATCAGCGCTGATGTCATGATTTATGATTATGATATACACAAGATTTTTTGTTGTTACAAATAAACAAGAATTTCTAGATATTTTACCTTTTTGATTAAAATTGAGATTATCCAGTCTAGTAATGTATTGTTTAATGGCCGAAATATTCTCTTCGACGCTTTCGATCCATTGTTTCAAAACTTCAGTTCGTTCGAACGTACCTCGTATATCGTTGCTTTTCGACGACGACTCATCCTGAAAATATTATGAATTAAAAAAAATGGCAGTCTCAAAACGAGTAGATGTTGGCATATTTAGGTATAGTTGTTGGGTTTTGTGTGGTTATTTTTATAGCATGACATGAATAGACCTACAGCTTTTACACGACTTTTAGGTAATTTTATTTATCGATGAAATTAGTTTCTGATACCGCGCAGTAAAATTTGGGATCGATTTAAATTACTGAAATGATATATGATCTCTAAAATAAAAACGACGGTTTGATAAAAAAAATGCTTATATCATTTTGTACCATCTTTATTAGACGCGTTTTGAGTTGTCTATCATTATGAGGAATTACCATCCAAAATAAAATATAGGTATGGTCTGTTCATAGATATAAGAAAGTGACCAATTGCTTTTGAATGGGATTATCCAAAGGTGGTCATTAACATACAATGAAACAAGATTATTACCTAAAGTTTCGGAATTTAAATTCAGGTAAGATTGTGGTCCGTAATAGAAAATAATTTTATACCTACCTGTATTTAATATTCTTTGGTTTGGTATACTAAGTTTAATTTTATTAGTAATCATTCTTATTTCGTGTGTAATACAGCGTGTGTTGAATCGTGTGCGAATTATGCAAAATATGTGCGAGTCTAGTGTATCTCAGGAGATGTTCCCGCCCAAATGTAGAAAACACTATTCAATTGAGACTAAGGAAGTTATAAACAATATTTATTTGACTCTCATTGAACGTAGTGCCAGCAAGCAAGCATCGTTAGAAGAACCAGAAACATTGACGAAAATTCCAACATCAACTGTATGAAAAATTATGAATAATCCCATTTCAGCGAGGAAAAAAAGAAGCGATGCTGACATTTTCTCGAGTGTAGATGAAAGTGATCAAGATATAATACGGCGTAAAATTTACCAGTTATACGAGGAACAAAGCTTGCCTACATTAGATATCTTAATTAGGAGGCTTGAAAAAGATGAAACCGGTGTTAAATGTGGAAGAACTACCTCATGGATGTGTATTCAACACATAAGTTTTAGATTTTAAAAAATTGACAAAAGGCAAGTTTTAATGGAATCTTTTAGAATTCGGAAATGGCGACTGGAATATCTAGAAAGAATTAGGATTTACAGAGCACAACAAAGGGCAATTATTTACTTGAATGAAACCTGGTTCGACACTTATGATATCCCGGAAAAGGGTTGGGTTGACTCAACTGATAAGTGTAAAACAAACACGCCATCAAAAAGAGGTAAAAGAATAACTATTTTGCGTGCTGGCTCTAAAGATGGTTGGATTCCAAATAGACTTTCTCTGTCTGCGAAAAATATTAAAGATTTCGCTCCTCATGTGACATAAAAGCAACAATCCAAAACTACATGTATAATAACGACATTTATTTTCACGAAGATTATACCAAAAAGCAATTAATTGAGGTTCTACAAAATTTGAACCTACGTCTGTGATAATTATGCATACAGTTTTAAGGCTTCCACCGTATCACTGTATATTTAATCCTATTGAACATGTTTGGCAGTAGATGTATAGTGCCGATATAAGCAACAGAAACCGTACATAACCTCAATTTCCTAACCCCCCCGCAGCGGGGGCCCCCCGCGCGTGGCGTCCTAGTGTCCCCCCTGTCTACCAGAGTGCGCTCCGCCCCCCACCCAGCTTGTGTAGCGTCCTGTTTTGCCCCGGTTCCGCCCGTCGCTGCTAGATGTCGCGCGCTTGTGTAGCGTCCTGTTTTGCCCCGGTTCCGCCCGTCGCTGCTAGATGTCGCGCGCTCCGACCGTCGTAGGCCCCCCCGGTAGAGGGCGGTGACGGTGCGGCGCGGAGACGGTGTGGCGCGGTGACGCGGTGGATCGGGTCGTCGGTAAACAAGTCGAGTGACTTATACAGAGTGTCTCAATAATCACGGTTTAATAAAAGAAAAACTATAGATATAATAGTAAATATTTATTAGCTCATATGTAGACAACGTAATGCTTCGTACAAGCGGTGTTTCTGGTCCATGAGATTTTCTACTTCATCGCGGACGAGGATAATTTCGTCGCCATGATCCTGTTTCAGTATCAACTCACAGCTCTCTTCTTCGTTCGAATAGGTCACCTCGATACTGCTCCCGATGTAGACTGTTATGTCGTTCCAGAACATGATTTCTCCCACCTCGTCCTCCAGAAAGAACAAAAAATCCCAAAAATCCTGGACTTGAAAATCTATGTGCTTGTTCTTGAAGATGAAACGGACACCTGAATTCTTTATTTCGAAAATCGTGTTTTCATCGATAGTGACCACTTTGTTACACATTGCGACAAACAGACTGACTTCGGTATCAAATTCAAATGTACTTATATATCAACAACCCCCCACTATCGGTGTAATTAAGAGAGATATTTACATTTAGTCAATTTGAATAAGCATTTTGCCAAAAGAAGCAAACAAGCGCACGTAGTTACATATAGCGGGATTAAAATAGTTTTTCGATCTGCCGAGATGTTGTATTCGTTACCGCAATTGTCGTTAACGCCGCCGCTGGTGTTATTGGAATTCTTGATAGCGATCGTTTGCCATTCGCCGTGGTCTTCGTAGCTCCGGTTCGCGAAAACGAAACGTACCTTGTAATTTAAATACGGCTTATCTGCGGTAGTGTTATTCGACAATGTCACGCTAAAAGTTTGTAGCTTGTCGATTCCGTTGACCTGAGCGAGTTGCATACGCGTCCACGTATCGGGCCAAATGCACCGATTATTATGATTTTTGAAACAAACGAACGCTTCAATCACATCCTTAGGTTTATGTATATAGAAAACGTTTTGTACCACAGCCGACAACAAAACAAAGTGAGCACTTAACAAAACCATGTTTCTAGCCCGAATGAATCTATCCTAGATCTCGGTATCTGCTTTTATAACACTCAAACAATAATGACATTTATTCTGGGGAGGTGCCGGGCCGTCGATATGCATTTTGCTGTCCGGTCTGTTATAGTGAACAAAGCAGGGCAAATGAGTTTGCAATTCAAAATTGTTGCGATGTCGTACTGGTAACTTATGCCACATATTTAACAAATCGTGCGGTCTCACATGCTCCAAGAAATGTTGCACAGGAATCAATTCAAGTTGATCGGTATCCAAGCTTGTAAAATCGTCGAAGAAAACTAACTTCTTATTCATTGTTGTGAAAGATCGATAACTTTCTTAACAAATCCCTAATTTGTTTAAAGACACTCTCTGTGGGACAATTAATTGCGACAAGACTCAAGTCTATTTCACCGACTCTCGTTAATTTATTCAAAAATTCGTTGTATTCGTAATACGTTTTCTCTTTGAAAAAATACAAATGTCCGTTGGTGTATCGAAACGCGCCCGACAAATCGTCGGGCAGACCCGGAAACAGTTCCGTAGTAAAACCGTGTTCACTCGCACTCAAAGAACACTCGTCTATTTCTGCATAGTAGCGTTTACCGTAAAATATATACGTTCGACCGCCATACGTATTAAAAATAGCGTTCACTGTTTTACCCGCAGGCACACCCAGTCGCTGGACGCTTTGTCGGTCGCCCACTACCGTGAAACTCGGGAAGTGAAGTAAATAAAACGAATCACCGGTGACTACCAAAAGTTGTCCGTTGGGTCTCTGGTAGATATGCGAAATAGGAGCGTAAATAGGGACATAATCTGATATCATTTTAGGTTCCATGTAGACTTTATCACCTAATCTTATTATCCAAACCCATTTGTCGTAAAATAGATACATATGATGGTTAGACGTAACCAAAAATATGGATGGATTTACGTGACACAAATCTGGTACTTTTGTTTCGTTTTTCCCTATCGGAGGTTTCGTAGTTGTGGTAGTAGTGGTAGTTGATGTTGTTGTGGTCGGAGTTGTTACGCGGACGGTGGTTGTGGTTTTTTTACCATATAAACGTTGAATACCTGCAACATCGTCGTATGACAATGTCTTAGAATTTAAGCTATACCAAGGGTACATAATGGCATTGCGATCGTTACTGTGCGCCAAACCCAACGTATGTCCAATTTCGTGGAACAACACAGTAAACAAGCTCGTTTTTCCTCCGGGCGCAGGCACTTCTAAACCGTAGTACCAATCTTCGGATTTATCCAAATGAACTTCCACGCACTCTTGTTGTTGATTTGGAAAAAATGCATGTCCTAATATGTTACCCCTTCCGTCAAAAGCAAAAGGACAGGATTCGTTCCCTTTACATCTTATGCTTTGTCTGTGGGTAGTATATTTGTCAGACATCAAAATCATTATATCCGGCTCTGAGTAATTTAAGAAAAAATTTAAATTTGATTCATCACTCCATATTTTAAAAACCTCGGTTGCCAGCACTTTTAACTCTTGATAGTGACTGGGCGGTACTTGAATATACCAATTTAAATCCGTTTTCTGCCATCGCGAAACAGTCGTGAAGGCATTTTCTATTACACCACATCGGGGTTTATTTATTAGTTCGACGGTTTCGTTATTAAGAGTACCATCCACCGGTAAATTATAGAAATCCTGAAAATCCATTAGGGCACGTTGCAAACTCGACGCATTGATCTGCGTTAAAGATTCGTTGTCGTTAGGTGAAAGGAATCCGAATTTTTGTAAATATTCAATCACACCTTCCTCGGGCAGCGCGGCGACTATCGTCGACACGTCCGAACAGGTAGTAAAGACAGCGTAGCATAGCAACAAGACTCTCATCTCGTTCAAGGTCAGTAAAATACTAAAATGTATTCGGTTCCTAGCTAATCTTTTATAGGTAAAATAACAAAGAGAAGTGATGAACCAAACGCTTTTAGTCGCTATTTTGCGTGAGATGACGCAGAATATTACTCGAGAAATGGAACGAAAAAAGAATTATACTTCAATAGATTACAGTTTCGCAGTTTGTATTCATATCATAGCATTAGCGTGCTTTATTTTTACGTGTAAATGTATTATTAATTTTTTTGGATTGAAATAAAAAGTCTTATTTAAATAAAGAAAGTTTTAT